TTCCCTGTTCTTTCTCCCATTCCGCGTAAAGGTCCCACAGCCGGTCTGAGTGCCAGTCCCAGCCCACTGCAGTCACAGCCTCCTCAAACGCACTGGGGAACAGAGAGATGACAAAGACTTTGGCAAACCCAAAACTTTAGCGTGATAACAAATTACTGTTTAATAAGAGTCTGCTTAACTCAAGAGAATGAGCAGTCATTCACTTCATGAGTTAAAAAAAGGGACTCCAAACCTGCAGGCAAAAACAAGGCAAGACATGTAATAAAGACAGACATGGTGTTACCTGCGAATGCGTTGTATAGACTCAGACAAATTCATGTTGAGTGTCCCTAGCAAGAGGTTGATGAAATGTATCCACAGATCCACACTGAGAGGGATAGCTTTCAGTCCTCGTACACATACCTGCAAAGCAAAACCAATTATCAGGCATAAGCCAATATGGGAACTGTGGGCTGATGCCAATATCTGATCTTGTTTATGTACATATCTGTCAATGCTGATAAACAATTATAAAAAGAAGAAATTGGGACTACATCTATGTGGATTAGCATTACAGAGAAATATAATATTTGTTTTTATAGGGTTGCAAATAAACACTAAAAGGAGTAAAAGAAATATAACACATAAAACACGCAGAGACATCAGCATTGCTCAGACACAGTGCTCTTCCAGAGGACAATAAATAAATCATTTAGTATCAGTTTGGGATATCTCTCAAACCTTATATTTGTTTAATGTCGAATTTTTAAGCTATTATCTGCTGGTACCATTATGATTCAGATATCATCGTGCCTCCCTTTCAAAAATGTTCTGCCTACAAATGTGTTTGTAAGCTAATGGTTAGCCTATGTTGTTAGTCTCATGACAAAAAAGCTTAAAACCTGTAAGCTACCAACTTTATGCTGAAAGTTGTTTAAATGCATATGAACTTCAACCTAGTCAGGCCATATATGTTATTTAACACGAGCTGCTAATATGTGGTAAAGTATAAGTAAGTAGAATACGTTACTGTCATATCTGTAAAGTTAGGCTGCTTTTTTCCATCCAACAAATGCAGTGCTGTGTTTAATGTTTTCAAGGATTGTGTATGTGATTATAGGTATGTTAGCAAACGATTAATCACTGGTTATCAGTCAAAAGAATTTGACAAAATTTGCAACCATAATTCTGAAACTTAATGATTAAATAATACAAATTATGGTTACTATATTAAGCTATATTATTCCCCCCACACACAAATTCTACCATTCTTCCATTTGTTCTAGCCCATGCTATTTGTCACTAAACCTTTGCATGTTGTTGTAAAGAGTAGTAATTTGATTGTCCCAACCCTGTACAAAAAACAGGCATATAAAAACCACAGCAGAAACAAGCTAGCTAATCCTGACCATCATGTTTATCAAAGTATTCGATCTTTCAAAGCATTACTGCATTCCATACCTCCTCAGCCTTGCTGTTGTGGCCTGCTCGCCTTTCCATATCAGCAAACTTCTTCCAGTAGCCATAGCATAAGGGGTATTTGGCCAGGAATGCATTAAGGGCCCGCCGAGACGCAGTCATATGACCCTGCAACAATTTGTGTGATGATGTATGTTTTGTAAAGAATACAGAATCATTCCACATTACTGCACAAACACAATGATCAAACACAATTCATTTTACTGTGTTAAAGACAATTACTGTACTTTCATTTGATAGCAACATCTCTCCTCACTTCTTGTTCACAATACTGCAGCAAATCCGTCCAGCCGCTGAAATCCTGGGGGTTGTTGCTCACTACTTTCCAAAGTCTTTCAAAATCCACTGGCAGATCTCCTTCCTCCTCCTCCTCGTCTCCTTCTAATGGAGGGCCACTGTAAATGGCGGATGGATTTGCCATCTCTGTCCCACTTCCACCCTTGTCCTCGGAGACCCCTAACTCTGTCTGGGGAAGTTCAGAGACCTCAGGGGCCGCAAACCCTGTAATATGAAAAGGCTAACATTAATAATAATAATAATTTTTATTTATTTAGCACTTTTCACATGCCGGTGGCAGCTCAAAGTGCTTTACAGACAGGAGATAAAACATAGTTATACAAGAAATCATGAGTATTTATTTAGTATCAGAAGAAAATGAAACAGATCAAATTAGAAGATAAACACCATGAGACGTAGAGTTTTAATTAAATGCTAAGTTAAAGAGATACGTGTTTAGATGCTTCTTAAAAGTGAGCACTGAACTTGACTGTCTAATAAAAGGTGGAACTGAGTTCCACAGTTTAGAAGAATAATAATTGAAAGAGGCCTCTCCATGTTTTCTGTATTTTACAGAGGGTATCTGTAGAAGGCCACTATCTACAGAGCTTAGATTATGTGCTGGAACATAAACAGACAGACACTCTGTGATGTAAGCGGTGCTTTAAGGTCATTTTGAGCTTTAAAAACTAGTAGCAAAACTTTAAAATCTATCCTGAACGATACAGGCAGCCAGTGCAGTTCTTTTAAAATGGGAGTGATGTGATCTCTCTTTTTTGTTTTTGTTAGGATGCTGCTGCATTTTGTATGAGTTGTAAGGGATGTATAGTTTTCTTCGAAAGTCCAGTAAGAAGAGCACTACAGTAATCAAGTCTGCTTGTAACAAATGCATATACAAGTTTCTCTGCGTCGCTCTGAGATAGAAAAGGCAGAACGATATTTCTCAAATGATAAAAAGCTATTTTAGTGACCGTGTTTACATGCGGGATAAAACGGAGCTCAGAGTCTAAGATCACACCTAGGTTTCGTACTTCAGTTTGGTATATGAAGCTAAAGAACTGAGTTTCTCATAAATCATTTTTCTCTGAGTTTCTGTACCAACGATCAATATTTCAGTTTTTTCATGACTTAATTGTAGAAAATTTTGCAACATCCACTGAGAAATATCTGACACACAGCTGGTTAGTCTATCTTAGAGTCTTGATCTTCAGAAGGAATAGAAATGTACAACAGGGTATCATCAGCACAGCTATGAAAATTTATATTATGCTTCCTAATGACATCACCTAGAAGTAGCATGTACAAAGAGAAAAGCAAAGGCCTTAAGACTGAACTTTGAGGGACTCCACAAGAAATGGCAATTTTTTTTGATGAATGATTTCCAAGCGAAACCATGAACTGCCTATTACTTAAATATGATTTAAACCATTCTAAAACTATGCCTGAGAGGCTGACCCAGCATTCAAGACGCTGGATTAAAATCTTGTGGTCAACAGTATCAAAAGCTGAAATAAGATCTAATAAAACCAGAAGGACATAGCGCATCAACACTGAGCCTGAGATCATTCATAGCATGAATCAATGCTGTCTCTGTACTATGGTTAGAATGAAAACCTGACTGAAACTTCTCATATAAACTGTTTGATATTAGATACACATTTAGTTGTTTGAAAACAACTTTTTCAAAGACTTTACTTAGAAAAAGTAGGTTTGAAATTGGTCTAAAATTGTTTAGTACAGAAGGATCCATGCTACTGACTACCAAACAGATTCCAAAGTAAACCAACACGTTCTGAGGTTTTATGTGCAATGTTGAGATCGGTGTAACAGTGGTCATTCCAAAGACAGCAATGTACCTATCCATGTACCTCTCTGGCAAGAATGTCTCAGGCATCAGACAGAATATCCGTAAGCATTGAATGTAATGACTTCCTGTGAGGTAGAATTAAGAGGTATTAAACACTTCAGACACTTTGTTCGCTGTGAACAATTCTGAGTTTGTAAGTTTTTCCCAGAAAGCAGCATTTCCCATCAAACTACTCTGAATGACTGTTTACATGTCAATGATTTCATTGTGCAAACGTTCTGGAAATTCGGTGGAGTTCCCCTTTCGATAAGTTGAACTCACTATTTAGCAGGACGGTCTGGATACTTTTGTACATACAGGCTTACCAACGCCCGGCGGTTTACCAAGACGCTAAGCTCCACTGTTCGGCTTGCTGTTGCACGACTGCAAAACATTTTACCTTAGGACGCGACAGAGTGATGAAATGTATGATGATGGAATTAAATCCAGATAACTAGTTTAAAGGTGCGCGAGACAACAAGTCTGACGGTATCTAACGCTGTTTAGCCGCTTTAGCCTCCCGGAGCGAGCGGACCAAAAAGACCGATTTATACTCCACAAATAAACGAAGCACGCGTCATGTATAAAATATGCAATTTAATGAGTATGATAAACGAAACATAATAACGAAAAAACGTATTTAGAAGTAGAGACCTGGCGGGTTTGTAAAGTGCCCGTTGTCGCTAAATTCTTCCGTTCCTTCTGCCGCCATAGTTAGATAACACATGACGCAAACAACGTGCGACTGTTAACTACACGTCAAACGGCCTCGACAGAGCTGCGTCCCAAACCGTACTCTACTGTTCTACAGTACTAAACTACACACGACGCGGAGGAGCGGCGGACTAGTTTGACATTTTTTGAGTTACAAAGTGTTCCTATTTCACTTTTTAAAAAGAATATATGTAAAGAAACTGAAACAAGTATTTTCTCAACTTCATTTTACTTTTAATTGCATTTAATTACATTTCACATCCACAAAACGGAATAATAAAGTCCTCTTTGTATTTTTAAGACATTTACCACATCCATCTACATCTATTCTAATCATCTACATATTATCACAAATGCGCCTCTCATCTAACTCAGTGTATTTTTTTAAACTTAAGTTTTCACTTGAGATATATATATATATATATATATATATATATATGTGTGTGCGTGTGTGTGTGTGTGTGTGTGTGTGTGTGTGTAGGCCTATATAATCATATGCAACAAAAGTCAAAAAGATTTTTTAAGTGAAAATGAGGTATGTTAGTTGGAGGATATGGACAGGATGTATTCACATTTCACTTAGAAAACATTTAATTTGACCAGGGGTTTTCAAACTTTTGATAATTTTTGACTATTATGGCTTTTAAACTGGCAAGGGCTGTCACTATGCACACCTCTAGCAAAAAAAGGACACCAAACCATCATGTTCAATGATGTACAGTTACTTTATTCCCATCTTAAAGACCCAGTCATCAAATCACTCATTCCATCATGTCAGTTTGGTGGGGACGGCCTTGGAGAATTGTTTTTATTGTTTTGAAAACAGAATAAGACAAAACTACACTTCCCCTTCCCAAGATCACGACTGCACTATATATGGGGAGATCAATTTGGTCTTCAGTGGAGCAAACATGAAATCTAGTGCATTCAGCACATGAGCAGTTTAGGCAGGAATGGACACAAACCCAGTTGTGATATTGCACAGGATCTATTACACAGGTTGTCAGGGCAAAAGAATATCACTAAATAGCCAACTTTGTTGTAATATTTGTAAACTTAGGACAACCAGAAATCATACATAGAAGAGAGAGAGAGAAACCATAAAGGAAAAAAACAAAAAACCAAACAAAAAACAGTCACTGCCACCATGTCAGTGGTTTATTTCCCTAAAAGTATTCCAATACTATGGATCTTGTTTCAGTATGAGCTGCCAGCTTCAGTACCTCAACTTTCACCATCCATTTACTGTAAATCACATAATTGGTCCATTTGTAAAAGATGAAGCATTATTCATCTGGGCTGCAATAACTCAATGAACAAAACACAAAGGGTTGATTTCCTAGACATGGATTAAGCCTAGTCTTGGACTAAACTGTAGTGCCAAAGGTAACTCAACATTGGAAATTCTTCTTAGTTTAGGCCTAGAGTTAATCTGGGTCTGGGAAATTAGCCCAAAGATTTCTAAACGTAACACAAATGTCCTGTACTTCAGAGAGGCCTGACTTAAATAAACCTGAATAATTAAGTGCATTAAACATGCTCTCCATTGCTTTAATGACATACACCTGTTAAAATCCTCAACAAATGGACTACGTTAACCCCTACAAGAAAACATTTAGAAAAGAAATAGGATTTGATTCATGGACAACCGTTTACAAAATCTGAAGCCTGAAGTATCCACTACATCATTCTTTCTTTTGGCCCAACTCCTAAATTATTTGATTATCATTCTGTTTTTTTCCAGCTTTTTAAAATTTGTTGTAAAGTAACATGATTGTGTTTTTGAGAGTAGTCTCATGTTTTTAAATGTCTAGTATTTCTTGATTGGGTCTTAGTGAACCACACAAACGTTCAGTTTTTGGTCACTACTATGTAGTACGTTTGGATCCTGCACCTTCTGTTCCCTTCCACTGAGGTCCAGTTTGTTACTGCAGCACCACGGTCCAGTCTGCTCCAGCATTCATGCCTGGTTTGCGAAGGGTTAGCACCGACATGGAGGCATCAAACTCAAACTCCACAGAAGTCTCTTTGCCTGGTGGACAAAGTAAAAGTGAGAAGCGACAATGTAAATCAACCAACAGCTAAAACATACCCAACACTCACTTTGCCTAGATGATGACTTAGATTATTTTATTCCATTGTGCCAAAGGCTCAATGGAATCTCAATCAAAGAGAGAAAGAAGTGATTGAAAGACTTACCATCCATCTGAAGAGTAACCTTGTTGGGCTTACTGGCTCCCAATATGAGAACCTTTTCAATCCAAGACTCTGTAGAGAAGTTGGACTCCGGACACAAGTTCCTATAGTAAAAGGAAATAAAGCCTTCAAGTAAGACCCCTTACCCTAATCAGGTAAGAGAAACAAGAGAGTCATTAACAGAAAATAACTGGAGCAGAGGTGTGTCAGATACCTGGATGTGAGAGCATTGTTGGCAAAGGTTAGACTCCGGTGAATAAACTCTTTCTTTGTTTGGAAGTTAAAGGTGTGGCCATCGTCTATGTAGAGTTCACCCTCAGCAACTCTCTACGAAAGGATGAGGAGGTTAATGGAGACATCACCATATTCACAGAATTCTCCACCTCTCTATGTTCATCTTTAAGAACACTTATAAAGCTGCCTTATTTCTAATACTACACAACAATGTCTTTGGAGGTAAAATCTGTAAATACTTTCTCATACAATACCATTTAAAAGTTAACACGTCCTCTACAGAGAATAAACTTCAATTTTAAAACACACTGGAACAAAAAATAATACATAAAATCTAAAATGTATCATAACTTCTGCACAGGTCACATTGCTTACCTGTGGGCTGAGAGCCACATACAGGGTGTATGGGTCATTCTCCATGCAGTCAGATGACCTTCGAACTCTGACCTTTCTTGGAATGATTGAGCCGCCACGCTGGAACACTGGGATCTTACCAAAGCAGAAGCAGAACTTTGGTAACTCACACATTCATTAGTAAAAAGCTACTTACTGTATTTTAATGTTAAGAGAGACATACAGAGCTCATCGTGACTGGGATGTAGAGGTTCTGAGCACCATTGTGTTTCTGGAATGTGTGGACATCATACCAAACCTAAGGTGGATAGAGACATTTTACATTTACATTTTACATTTACAGCATTTAGCAGACGCTCTTATCCAGAGCAACTTACAAAAAGTGCTTTGTCTATCCAGAGAAAGTATCTTTGCTAGTTACCAATAGGTTAGAGAGAAAAGATTAGAGACAAGTGTAAGTGCTAGTAGAACAAGAGAAAAATGAATTAAGACGTACACTTCACTGCTATTTCAAACCAGTCCAGCCCAAACCGGCCGAACCATTTAATACAGTCACTGTAGGGTTTAGCACCACAAACAAACAAAAACATTCTGTCTACCTCCCCCTGTCCAGGCAGATAGGCCGTGACTCCTCGTGCTCCTTCTTCAGTGACAGGGTGGGCCAGCAGATCTCGTCCTGAATTAGACAAACACAATCACCATGGTATAACCCCTACATACATTCAGAAACAACATTCACTGACATTCACCCCTGCCCCCCCAACAACTAGATTGGGTTACTCACCAATGAGGAACTCATCATCAATAGTGAAAGTAGCTGTGTCCTCAGGATATTCAACCCACAGGGGCCTAAGACACAGGAGTATAAAAAAATGAGATGAGAAACAACTGATAAACTGATAAAATGCATTTATAGGCTTAAATATCTTGCAACTTGCAAAGTTCTCATTCTGAACACAATCTGAAGGATTGATTAACATAAATGTGTTTTTCATTATATGCCAGTTACATTTTAGATTTGAAAATAAATTCAAGCTGTTGTAAGGGGCTTTCTCTGACCTCATAACAGGCTGGCCGGTCTTGTGTGCCTGGTAGAATTGCTGGTACCAGTAAGGCAAGAGGGTGTAGCGCTGACGGATTGCATCCCGGATGAGAGCAGTATTTTCTGGGCCAAACAGCCAGGGCTCCCGCCTGGGAGTGTCCAGGTGAGCATGCGCTCGGAAGAACGGCTGATAAGCACCAGTCTGGTACCAGCGCACCAGTAATTCAGTACTTGGGGTCTTAAAGAAACCACCAACATCAGCTATGGAAAGAGAAAAACAGACAATGTGATTGGGATACATGTACACACACACACAAAGAATAATTCATTCTGAGTAAGATCGCCCTTATGTGGTCAATTCAACATACATGCCCTCGTCTACTTCGACTCATCACTAGTGCATCACACCTACTTTACCCTCTGGCCTCTCAAAGCAAAAGGGGTGGAAGAGACAGTGAGGTGTGGCTTTTTCCAATCAGAATGCACTTGCCCTATGACAGGTCAGCCTCACTGAGCTAATCAGATAGGCCTCCAAACTTATATATTAAAAATATTAAAACATATTAACATATTATAAAATATATTAAACGTATATAAAAAATATATTTATTTTAATAAAAATATATTTTTATATGACATGACTTTTTTCAAGTTTGAAAAGGGAAACGCATCAGGTTGCTGTAATTTCTTGCCAAGTTCTGCTGCTGAAGTCGACACTTGTGTTCACTCAATCCCTCACCCCTTTGAGGGCTCATCTAACAGCCGTCACTTTAGCTGATTAAGTAACAGAACAGCCCTTAGAATGGCCTCAGGGATTCCCAGAGAGGGAAATGGTGAGACCAAGCTGACAAAATCCTTATCACAGCTGGTATTGAAATGAGTGGCAAGTATTTATTTTGTTTATTTCTCAATATATAAGTAATAATATCTTAAAAATGATGGTATAAGCACAGTTAAAAGAAAAAAAGAGCTTTGACTGACCTCCACACAGAGAGATCCCCACCAAGCCCAGACTCAGACACATAGGGATAGAAATCTTCAGGTGGTCCCACTCAGCAGCATTATCACCAGTCCACACAGCACCTGCATATACACACATACAAAAATGAGGAAAAAGGAGCTGTGTGTCCTATTTCTACCCCTCAGTGTTAGTTAAAGCTAGGCCCACATGCTAATTATGTAGTATCTTTAACATTAAAGAAAGGGTTTTGATAAAGAATAAACATTCAGCTTCTTCAATACATATTATCTGTACAGTTTCCCAGTCCGTACAGATAAAGTACTCACCAAATCGCTGAGATCCAGCAAAGAAGGCTCTGGTGAGAACAAAGGGCCTCTCTGTTCCTCCAGACCGTTGGATCAGGCCATCAGCTGTAGCCATATGCTGCTCAGCAAGGAAGTAACAAGATGAGATGTGCCAAAAAAAGGATTAAAAAAATAAGTCACAGAATAACATAAAAAAATTCCTAAACTGAAAAATCACAAATTTGAAATACAAAAACTAATTTAAATTAAGTTTTCTTTCCCTAAGCCCCTAAACCAGCCTGCGTAATGCACTGTTTGCCTCACCACATAGAGGCCGTAGAGGTTGTGGAGATCCCTATGTTCCCATTTGCCATGCACTGCGTCTTTATACATAGTAACCTCCGGGCCGTTGAACACAGATGGCTCGTTCATATCATTCCAGGTGTACAAGTTCTCCATTGAACCCTGGGGACAGCATGTGAGATCCAACATTTAGCTGAAAGATCTTTTTAAATAACAACATTTAGTATTGGTGCTCGTTTTCTCTCTGCATAGGCCTTATGTTGGTAGGCCAGCCTCTGCTTGAAAACGTAATCACCTTTTGTAATATAATACTAAGTCTTACCTCGTACTGATCATATGCAAACATACTGGCCCACCAAGCTCTCATCTCTGGATTAGTGAAGTCTGGGTAACCTGAGTTGCCTGTGCATTAGCAAGAGAGAAAGAGAGAAGCTGAAAAGGACAATTCTGAGACAAGCATCTAAGTTGCAAAGCAAGAACAAAGAATACAGATGACTCTGTAAACAATGTTACTTTGAGTTAACAGTAAAAAAGATGACACAACTTCCAGACAGTGTTCTCACCTGGCCAGCACCATCCCTCGTAGTCTCCACCATCTTTATTTTTGACATAAAAGTTTTTGGCACGGATCTCACTGTGGATCTTGTAGCCACTGTCCACCTTAATATGGGGGTCAACGATGGCTACCATCTGCCAAGGACAGGATTTCAAAGTGCCGTCACTGGAGTGTGTAGTATCAACTAATCTGATCTTAGATTTCTAAAATGCTGATTGTTCTATTGCAGTTTTACCTCTCATATCAAAAATGTAATGCATTATTTAAATCTAATAAATGATAAAACCCTAGTGTTGAGTTTACTAAAAGATTCAGTATTAACCATATGTTAACCTTCAGTGAACAGATAACAGGTAAGTGAGGAATCACCTTGCGTCTCTTGTCCTTGATGCCGTGCAGCATCTCTTTGGGCTGGGGGAACTTTTCAGGGTCCCAGGTGAAGTAGCGTTTGCCGTCTGTGTGCTCAATGTCCAGCCAGATGAAATCGTATGGGATGTCATGCTGATCGAAGCCCTGATCTACTGCTTTCACATCATCCTGGTCATTGTAGTTCCAACGGCACTGGTGATAGCCCAGACCAGCCAGAGGAGGGAAAGACTGAGTGCCTTGCATGTGTGATGCGAGTGAGAGATGGAGGTAAAGACAATAAACGATAAGACCACAGTGATGCAACATAATAGTTATTGATCAGAGCGGTTTTATAACTGAAGTAAAATTGGAGAACACGGTTCAATGAAGAAAAAATGATGGAGAGCCTAAAGGGGTAGCAGAAAGCACAAGCTGTATGCATTTGCATGTACCTGTAAGCAAGGCATACTGTGTGAAGACATCAGAGGGTTTTGGTCCAAGCATGATGAAGACGTCGATGATACCGCTCTCAGAGATCCAACGGACATCAGTCTGAGGAGTTTCACTTGAGCCCTGAACAAAGTCCAGCATCTTCCCAAACACTGTCTGCAATAAGCAAGGAAACAGTGGCAGGAAAAAAGGGAATTTATAAAAGGATTTTTTCAGAACATCAAACAGCATAGCGCCCCAAACAGAAAACATTTTTACTGCTCTACTTGTGTGCTTTTCCAACCTTTACATTGCTCCATACTGAGAATCTACTCAAAATACCTGCTTATCTCTTTGTCTGTATGGTGCCATTTTTGCTTTCCACATAAAATTAAAACTGAAAAGTGAAAAACAGATAACAAATAACTGAAGATGCAGACAGAAATTTACTCTAAAAATGCTCTGAACCCTGTGAGTGTGCGCCCACACTCTGATGATAAATTTATAAAACACATGCTTTAATCAGCTTAATTGTAGAAATGATTAGTAATTACTATTAATTACTAATATAATTATAAGTAATTATTAGTAATTTCTACTATTAAGCTAATAGTAGAAATTACTAATAATTTCTACTATTAAGCTGATTTGCCAGGGATGGAAATTTTGAGTAATTGATATTAATAGTAAAAATTACTAGTAATTTCTACTATTACTAATAACTTCTACTATTAACATTTCCATCCTTGACAAATCAGCTTAATAGCAGAAATTATTATTAATTAGTTTGCAATTTGAGGTCATAATAAAGCTGTGTTTAGCCGATTCTCCACAAGGTGGTGCTACTAATACTCAAGTCGCTGTTGTGTGCATCACTGAAAAAGGAAACCGACACCTGCTGAATCTCACAAATGCACGTTTGTAAATCCATACTGCATATGTATGAAGTAAAATGATAAAATTTTTTGTTGTTACAAATTACAAATTGCATGTGTATGAAATAAAAGTGTATATGAAGTAAAAGGTTTTGTTATTCACTCGTAAAATTCAGTTAAATCTAACTGAAGGACTCACTGGAAAACAAACATACAAAGCAAAAAATGCCACTCGAATGTCTATTGCAAGTTTCAAATGTTCTAAATGTATAAGAAGTATTAAACCTGGTGCAGGAAGCAAAGACCACCGTTAGCTTGACCATATCAAAACAGAGAAATTCCAATAGAAGAGCTAGCAAATATCATCATTATCATAGTAGTGTACACTACTTCAAAAAAATGTTTGCAACAAACGATGCTATATAATGATATGCATGGCTGTGAGAAGTTCATGAAATGACTAGAATAAAGCAGCATTACAGACTTAAAATTCATTAATTTAATAAAAAAAACCCTACCTTCTATAGGGTTCAGAGCAGTTTATAACCATACTATGTTTTTTGTGTTTTTTTTGTTTGTTTTAACTCTTATGTTCATACTCTTAAACTTTTAAAGAGTAACATGCAGAAATATCCTCCTTACTTTGCCAGCAGTATTGGAGCTGATGTCCACCCAGGTCTCAGCAGCATTGAGCCAGAAGATGCCCATGGTTCTCTGCGTATTATGGGCCAGCATAACTGGAACAGCTCCATATAAGGCCATGGGGTTATAGAGCTCATACTGGAACACATCCAGATTATACAGCCTGTACGGTTCCCCCCCACTGTGGAAAACAAGCAAAGTTAGTTAAGTAATATCCATAGGTTTGTGAGAGGGAAACAGTAAACGTCACACTGAATAAAGAAATGAAAACAGGCAACTGTGCCAGTTTTTAAATTAATTTAATAATTTAAAAAAATTAATTACAATGTGTACTTACTCTGTGGTTTTGAGTTTGAGGTTGTCTGCATGTTCTGGTATACCATAAACATGTTCTACGCCAGGCAAAGAAAAGTCTAAACTAATAGATGTGGGACCTGAGGAGGGAAAGGATTTTTTAGTGGCAAAAATATTTGCAGAATTTTCTCATAATAAGCAGAGTAAAGACATCACGCCATTATAGCACAAACAGCAACAGCTGTTTTCACTATAGAAAACGCAATACTGGCCACAGTCACCTTCTTTTTGGGAATAACCTGGCAAAACCAAGATACCTTTATTAATAAAAAAATACAATGTAAATGAAGGTGAACTGCAACACTCTAGCTTGGAGGACTGAGGTTAACTTTTGAGGTTAACCTTTGGGAAAAGAACAGAATGATCACTGAACATTTCTACATTCAGTTAGACATCTCTTGAATCTTGTGTTGCATATTTTGAGAAAGAAAATAACACCTCTTTTTCATACTAGCAGGCTTTTGCACCCCCGAGTGCTACTACAGAATTGTTTCTCCTTATTCAGACACACTGAGCCCACGCACCATTCGGTTTACTGTCTGTGTGCGTCTTAAAAGTCTCCTCCCACAAACCGTCTTCCTCTTTATCTTTCCCACCATCTTCTGCCTGTTGACACAGATACAGATGACATGATTGGTGCATGAGCGGAAACAAAGAAAAAAGTGGCAGAAAAGAGTGAAACTTGAAGAGTGCAAGGAAGGAGGATTCAGCTGTCAGTGCTTTACAAAAGGTTAGTAATTTAATAACCAGAAAATCATGTCAGGGCTGTTTCTCAACCAGATATTAACTTATACTGCAACATTACATAAGATTCTCATAAAGCAAAAACTTGATAGTCAGGTATGGCAAATGCATTTTCTAAGCATTTACGCTCAACCATTAAGAACAAATGCCAATGTAACTACAGAGCAAGGCATTAAACAATAGCTGTGTGACTAGAATAAGAAACCAGACAAAGATAGATAATGAACACACACTCCTTCTACACACAAACCTTCTCTTCCTCGTCCTGCTGTTCAGCTCCATCTCCATTCTCTTTCACTTCTGCACCCTCTGGGTCTGCTTGGCTGTGATGCACAAATACACACACGAAATATGAGATGAGAAGGACTCATTCACATAAGAGAGACAAAGGCCATCCAGCAGAAAGCAGTCTCTCTTCTGTTTTCACAGCTGGTTCAAATCACAGTTTGAGTTTTTGTGACACTGTATGTTTCATGTGATTCAGTTAATATCCCACTGCAATGGCTGAAGTGCACAAAATCAGACACGTGGCTGTTGGTTGACAGAAAGCACACTTACTTTCACAAAAAAAATAAAACAATAAATTAACTTTTTAAACTTTCACTAGCCTATCACTGTACAAAATTCAGATCTATCCCTCACATATATTTGTGTGCATCATCTCACCCTACTTTGTATTACAATAAAGACGCTTAACATTTGTGAATCAGAATAAAAAAAAAAAACCAAAAATAAACCTTATTTGATCTTATTTGATCTCTATGTCTTTAAATGAACCAAATCAGGTCACTAATGTTAAAAATAAATTTCCACAATTTATGCCGAGACATTGCTAGAAGAGGAAAACATGCTCTGATGTTGAATTTCCTCGACTGGAGCAGCCCACTGTAAAACATGTTCCCAGAAGCAGGGTTCAGCTGGAATCGAATAAAGACTTTTCCGCAATTTCTGGCAGACCACAGTTCTCTTGTTTGGTACAGACCCGAGTATGGGTTCACACCTGTCAAAACTACACCAAACGGAAAGTTTTATTTGTCTGCACCAAACAGATGTGAAAGTGACCCAAAGGTTATTTTCTGCAGAATGGAATAGCACAGCTGTCTCTAGCTGCTAGAGATGCAATTTCCATTCTGCTAAACCCTGCTGCACGTGGGCAGGCTGTTATATCATGACTACAACAGTCAATAAGATAAACTTCAAAACAACAGGAGTGGATCAATGAGCTACTGAGATTTAAAAGAGAAGCAAGTCAAACGACCAAAAATATCTCACAAGTAAGTTGCAACAGCAATACCACAGACATATTAATCTCCTACAAAAGAGGATCTCATGTTCTTGAGTAGTTTCAATGCTTAAAATAACATTAAATTTAAATATTACAAGTAAACTCATATTACATCAACATAAAGACAAAAAAGAGAGATAACTTAAAAGGACATCTGATTAGAGATAGAAGATTAACAGGCAGAAGCTCAAAGCACATTTTAGATGATTTCTTTTACACCATTATCCTGTCACAGGAAGCTCACAAGCTTGTTTTTCCTGTTTGCATAAACACTTAAAAGTAACAGTCCTTAAAAGGCTGAAGACCCAGACAAGAAAACGGAAAAGCCCCTGTAATAAAATTTATCGTTAATGAGCACAGTGGGTCTGCCCAACTACAATTTGTTGAACTTAAAGGGAAAAAACTAGTTCAGCTGCTACTGATATACAGATGTATGGACTGGTTAAAGTGCATGCATGTATTTATGGCCAGTTTTCGAGGCAAACAATATTATATTTTTACTCTCCTTTTGATTAATTGCGTTTTTTGTCACCTTCCTGACTTCTAAGCCAACTTATGAACTTTTGAGACCTGGATCAATGGCTAATTTTGAACAACATGATACACATAAGAACGTGTAGTGGCTCTTGATAATCCCCTCAATCTAGACTCAGATGCAAATTTGTTGGTGGAGAATGAAAAGTCAGAAAAAATGAGTATAACTTCAGAGGATTCAGTCAGGGAATGCAGACGAAGGGTAAGTGCTGGGCAGTAATGATAAAAAAAATCAATATGATGACATTTTCCAAATATATCACAATATCACACCACCAGATGCCAATCAGATGACAGGCAATACATCGCCGATCAATATGAACGAACGCAGGAGAGACTGGAGCAGATACTCACGTGTCCTTGCGGAGCCGCAAGTGCTCAAAAGCCAGCAGACCACGGGAGTTGAGTGACAGAAGCACTTCTGGACCCTCCATGATGTCCAGCCTGAATGGACGAGCGCTAACTATGAGCCTCTGGCTCTCTGCCCCCAGTGACAGCACCACACCATTATCATCTTGGGAGAGCACTGAGAGACTGGCATACAGAGATACAGACACATTCATGAATGAATAAGCATCACACGTTATACCTATCCAAACATACTGTGGCTAATCTCAATGCAGTGCTAGCTCAAAAGCTTAAATCTGAATGGACACTCACGGCTCAGTGGGTGGATCCCCTACCAGCACGTCTGGCACCTCGAAACGAGGCTTCAACGGTTTCAGCTCATTTATTTTAACACGAGTGATATTCCCCTGCAGTCTGTACAGCTCCAGCAGCAAACGCACCTACCAGTGACAGTGATAAACACAGACAAAGGCACAGTTAGCAAGATTCTGGGTGAAAGACAAAAAAGGGGGTTTACACTGGCAATCTTGCCAATGATCAACAAAACTAAAAAATGATGAGTCATAAAAAGGTGGTGTTCACATAGGAAAATATTCTATATGACCCTTGATGCATTACTTAGACAGACCTTGTTGTTGTCATTAATGAGCTGCAGAGTGAGTCTGGAGTCGCTCAGCTCCAGAGTGTCCAGTAAAGCTCTATATGGAGACTGCCCTGGCTTCAGTGCCCGCTGGCGCCTGGCAACAGAAAATATGAGACCTCAGCTGAAGCTTTTGAAGGTGTTGTGTAGCTAATGTAAGACTGGTCTAATATAAAAAGTAAAAACCTATGGTACGAGCTAGAGGACTTCCAGTATGTGGAATCCAAGAAACACTGGCCATCACTTACTTGCAGAAGGCACTCTGATTGCAGGTTTTGAAGTTTCCTCGGTCCACAGCCCAGCTGCCACCAAGGAGCAAAGAGATGCAGAGCCCCAACAGCAGCCCCATTCTGAACCAGGGAAAAGAAGACATTGTTTAAGAAGGGTTAATCTTCTGTATTTCAGAGTATATATTACGTAGACAAAGCTTTAAATGAATAAGACACAAAATCAGCAATAACATTGTGTGTATACATACACACATATACATACACATACACATACATATATATATATATATATATATACATATACATATACACACACACATATATACATATATATATACACATACATATATACATATACATACACACACATATATATATACACACACACATATATACATATATATACACATACATATATACATATACATACACACACATATACACACATTATATATATATATATATATATATATATATATATATATATATGTGTGTGTGTATATATATATATATATATATATATATATATATATATATATATATATGTGTGTATATGTGTGTGTATGTATATGTATATATGTATGTGTATATATATGTATATATGTGTGTGTGTATATATATATATATATATATATATATATATATATATATGTGTGTGTGTGTGTGTGTGTATGTATGTATATGTATATGTGTGTATGTGTATATATATATATATATGTGTATATGTGTATATGTATATATGTATGTGTATATATATGTATATATGTGTGTGTGTATATATATATATATATATATATATATATATATATATATATATATATATATATATATATATGTGTGTGTGTATGTATGTATATGTATATGTGTGTATGTGTATATATATATATATATATATATATATATATATATATATATATATATATATATATATATATATACAAACAGTATACATAGTATTCATAACAGTCATTGTCCATCTACCACCAGAAAGGCGTCAGAAAATGTGTTGAACCTTTGATGATTTCAGGAAAATAATTTCGGTTACAACACCCCTGCATTCGTTCACGAATCTACCCACGCAGACATCCGCCGGTGCTAGCTAGCTATCGCCAACAATGCGACCCCAGGAGGGTCCCAGACTCGTTTAGAAACGGGAGAAATGGGGGGAACTTTGCTTTCTTAAACCAGCAAGAGCTGCGAATGAATGAATAAACGACGCTACGACAAACCTCACGGGCTAAACAGTAAAGAGACATTCAGTACAAACGGTCTTTGAACACCGAGGCTGAAGTCAGCTTCCTATTCGCCAGCCTCTTGTTCGAATTTTCCCGTTCCACCTTAACTGGTGCAGCAGGCGCCAGTAAGTTAGCTAACGCTAGCTATGTAGATGCTGCACCATTTAAGGCCGAACGGGTAAAACAGAATAAGAAGCTGGCTTCAGCTTCGTCTTTGAACTGTCGTTAAAATGGAGCGTGCTAGCCAGTCGCTAACTCGATCAAGTGGAAATGACTGGTCGTCTTAGCTAACAAATCCCACAGCAACCGCGCATTCATCCGGCTCCAGCTTCCTCATTCAACACCTGCGAGATAACAGCTGGAGTCTTGGAGTAAACAGAAGGACGCAGCATCAGTAAGTTTACCTACATACGCAAAAAATGTAGCGAGCTATTGCTAAGAAGACCGAAGTGAAATATAAAAATGATGACTTAAATCTTCCTCCTACCTTTCATTGAAGGCAGCAGCCATCTTGCAACGTCTCCGTTAAGCCCGGCCCCCCGGATCTCGGCTTGTTTGCTCCGAGACTGCTGGGTAACAGCGGACCCTCCAATCACTGGCTGCGTCCCAAACCACGCTCTCTGTACTTTACATACTACACTAATGAATGCACTTCTAACGGTGGTGCACTATTTTTACACACTATTTAGTGCTGTAGTAAGCTGTTTGGGACGCAGCCACTGTTTTGTACAGAAGCTTTTTTAAAATATTAAAATATTTAATATAACAAATAATACAGGCATACAAAATATATACAGAAGTATCATATCACTATCACAACATTATATACTCATGGATATTAAACAAAAAAGGCATACTTATTAAAAATCGTTAGTTTTAATGGCTTTTCTGTTCTTTAAAGAAGAAATGAATGCAATACAAAATTTGCCATCATTCAGAAAATGTTTTGATTTATTTGTGGAGTATTTGGCAAAAATGAAAATGTTTCATTGAGTAAAAAGTTTTGTTTTTGTCTTCTTTCTTGTATGCTGTAAACCAAAGAATCACAATTTCATACTTGAGATAAAACAAAATATGAGGTTCACAAGTTTCCAGAAACTTTGTATTTATACATACATACATACATACATCATCTAAACCGCTTATCCTTCTGGGTCGCGGTGAACTTTGTATTTCATTAAAAAAAATAACTTAAAAAATGAGACACATCCTCAAACAAGACATGACAAAAGGAGTGCTGAGTGTCAATATCTTTCTTGAATCTGCTAAGAAATGTTTTGTTTTCAATGGAAACTTAAGGAGCATTTCTACTTGTCTAAGACAGAATCCTCAGAGATCTCAACCATACAATATGATTTATGTGTGTAAATAATGATTCATGACTCTGTATTTTGCAATATTTTAAACATTACTATGATACAATGTGAATGGATTTATCATTGAGCGTGATTACATGTACACAAAATCAGATTTTGGCAAAATGTTTAATTCTTGTTTCGGACTCATCTCACCAAAGTCTAAGAATAATTATATTGTAATTAATAATAATAGTGTAAGCTTTCTTTTACCTTTCTTATGTACTGCTCTTCTATGTCTCTGTCTTTCAGCAGTATATCCATGTAAAAGGAGATCTCACACTTTCCTCGTTCGTCTCCAGAACTTCTTACAATTAAATGCACATATTAACCTCTTCTTTCCCCTACAGAGAAATGTTATGATTTGGGACTACTTTGCTGACTCAGGGCCTGGCCAACTTGCATTTATAGAATCTACTATGAATTTGATTTTTTTCACTTGAGTGCTTGAAAATGTGAGACCATCTGTAAGAAAAGATGAAGCTTGAAAGTTGAAGAAAATATCTAATGTTCAAATAATGCAGTACTTCACAAAAAGATTTTTATTTTCTCATCAAGAGACATGAGCATAATGAAAAGACTGTATAAAGTGTTTAACACAGCTATGTACATTTTTGTCAGTGTTCGAACAAATATTATTATGTCCAACAAATATTTTTTTTTACCTAAACAATTTAAACGTTTGCTAATATAAAAAACAACCACAAAATGGCAAGAGGCTATTACGTTATATGGTCACAGTGTTCTTCCTCATTCAGAAAGCTCCCCATTTGCAAAGTGAATCCAAATTTTCTCTCTAATGACAGCCAATAAAGGACAAAGTTCAGCTTTCAAATAACCATTTCACTCAGACTGTGTGAATTTGTTTTACTTTCAGGAAAAAAGAATATCCCTTACAAACTATGAGACGAACACTAACAGTACAAGAATAACAGTGAACAGTACAAGAAAAATATCGAGAATACCAAAACAACCTCATATATTCTAAAAAAGGTTTGCACTCTCTTCTGAATGCCACTGATAGTTATATCTGAAACCTCCAACACAGGTGCCCAAGTCGGTCAATGTTCTTGTGAAGGACACTGTGGATTGGTGCAATGTACCGTGCCACATCACCGTCCCGAGAGAAGTCTCTGAAAAACACTCCTTTCTCAGCACTAAAGGTGAATTTCTGTGGCATCGGGCTGTTCCCTCGCATGTACTCCCACACACCCAGCAATAAAAGCCTGACCTCAAATGGGGAAAGATGAGGGAAGACCTCATGGATGTTGCTCAGCACTGGAGGGAGAAGCTGACCTTCTCCCATACAGGACACAAGCAGACAAGATGCCTGGAGGTGCCAGGGGGTATCTAGTACTGAAGGCTCTCTTGAAGCCTCCCAGTGGGCCAACAATGTGGCCAGGAGGCCTCTCAGAACAGCAGAACAATAGCACAGAGCTGGGCGCCCAGCTGCCACCACTCGAAGGAGGTGAAATAAAACAGGATTTGCTTCAAAACATCGGCGGATGTGAATGTCTCGTTCAACAGTGGTTTTGGCATGTTCCTCAGGCGGCCATGACAGTTCGCCATTTGCTACATCTGGGCAAACATTCTCCACCAGAGCTACTGCGATAACCTTGGCTGCTTCAGCATTGACTGGTGAGGGCTCATCCGAGACGCTTTCACCAGCATGATTGTAGCGGCCATTGCCAGAACCCGTGCCCGATCCATTACTGCAGCTCCCTCCTCCACTAGAGCTGCAACACTGGACTATGACAGCAAGCAAGGTCTGCATGTTCTGGTTTACCTTGTCTGCGTCAGACTGCGATGGAGTGTGAGGAGGTTTCAGTCCCTTTCCGATCACCCCAGCATGGAACACAGACCAAACGCTACCAGAGAAGTTGACGGTGGTGCCAAACTTGCAGTTGATGTTCAGCAGTGACACACCCAAGTCTGGACCTAGAGTGGGCAAAGGGGCTCCATCTTCACCAGGGCTTTCCCTCTGACCCCCAAACAGCTCTCGGTTGCCTTTGTGTAAAGCTCCCTCCACAAGCTGCTGGAGCACAGCTTTGAGCATCAAGGAGGAGTAAGCCGCCAAGCGGGACAACAAGCGCATGGAGTAACCCACTGCCTCTCCACCACTCTGCCCTCCAATTTTCAGCCCCTCACCCCTCTGTCGCAGAGCTATGAAGAAATGTGCCACTGCGGCCCGTGATATGAGTAGCAGATGGGCTGGTGAGCAAGCTCTTGGAAGCTGGCTGCAGGACAGCAGACGAGCAGCTGCTCTGGACACCATAGTGTCACCGTGAAGGAGCAGCGGACAGAAATCATGAAGGTGGCTGGAAACAGCATTTCCAACCTGGGCTGCCATCGATGAGTGAAGGGAACTTCCAGCTGTGGTGCCACCTGCTTTGCAGTCCTCTTCCTGACTTTGCACAGCTGTGGCCAGGTTGTTCAGGAGCTGGCCTAGTTCTCTGCTATTGAGGTTCTGGGTGTGGATCTGGGCAACACAACGGGCCACGGCTGATGGAAGCAATCCCGGGATGGAGGAGGAAAGAGGCGAGTGGAGCTGTGAAGCTAGCGCGAGCTCTTCTGGGTTCCTGGCTTGGGTGAGCAGCTGGCACAGGGCTTCAGTGGCCACACTAGGGCCACCATACACGGATAGCAAACACAGAAGTTGATGCAACCACAGGTGCCTCTTTCGCTCCAGTCGGAGAGTCTCAGCGCAGAGCTCTCCAACATGGGCCTGTAACTCCTCAAGGAATGGGATCACACGTGGCATCGCAATGGAGGAGGTTGTGTGTGAATATGGTTCATCACCTTCAGGTCTATTGTAAACAAGCTTGTGGAGATGCAAAAGAAGCATCTGAAGTAGCCGGTCACATGCTTCACGTACACCATCATGCGGGGAGGGCGTGGGGCCTGAAATGATAACGGAGGCTGGTGTGGCAGTGTCTGCAAGGAATCGCAGCACCCGGGCTCCACCAGCAGGGCTCTGGCTGATTAAGTGCACTGCCAGCCCCAGCATGTTTTCCAACTCTTCCCTGGGAAGACCCTGGAACTGAGCTTGAAGCTGAAGTAGCACAGGTGGTCGAAGGAACTCTACCAGCTCAGCAGACACAGCACCAAGGAGAGTTGGGGAGAGGGCAGCCAGCTGGAGCAGGAAAGGTACCGTAGCCCTGCGGAGATGAGGGGAGTTCTCCCACCCTGCAGCCCCGGAAGACGGAGGTGCATTTTGTGGTGGAGGAGATAAACTATCTTGAAACATCCTGAGGAGCTCCCTCTTAATGCTATCAGAATGCCTGGAGGCCAAGTGCCCAAGGATACCCACGACTGAGCCAATTTTTGGCACTCTGCTGGCTTTGTCTATTGCTTGCAGCTGGCTGCCTTTTTCTCCTGAAGGATATCCATGCGCGTAAAAGTCCTTAAGTCCACAAGCCAGCACCCTGCTAATGATGGTACCAGGGAAAGCAGAGCCGATGTGGGCAACCACCCAGTCAAAATGAGGAGAGTGCTGCACAGACGTATCGAGCAATGCATCCACGCAAGCGTCAGGGCACCAGGCTAACATTGCGGCCAGACACTGGGAGTAGCACTCCATGAGGGAGCGAGTGGCTGCACATGACATCCACAGCTGAAGGAGCTCATTCAGACTGGAGGAGTGAGGGGTTGCTCTTCTTCCTGCATGCTTACTGCTGAGCTGGCCAAGTAAATCCACCGCCCAGGAAGACACCAGCGGAGCCCAAGCTTTCGGGTTGAGCCTAATAAACTCCAGCAGAACAGCATGAATCTCTTTAATCACATCTTCCAAGTTTGACACATTGGGGTTGGTCCCTCCAGTGGTGCTGTTACTCCCACTGTCACTTTCTGCCTCAAGGTCTTGGAAAAATGCTGCCACATACTCATCATAAACACCCCTCAAGTGCTCCAGGACTGCACCTCGGCATGCTGGGACAGTGCGGAGGAGACGCACAGCACAGCGGGCATGATCGCGAACACTGAGCTTACGTCCTTTTGTCTGGTCAACACCACTGATAAATGCTTTTATTTCCAAAGCAAGTTCTTGAGGGCTGGAGAAGAAAAAAAAAGAAACTGTATTGAGAGACATAACTGAAGTAATATTGATTGAGAAGGTACACCCTCAAAAGCAAGTAGCAGAGAGAGAGACAATCACAATAAGTTATTTTGTAAGTTGTATTGTGAAGCTATCCTGTATATCACCATTAATCATCCCTTGAATGATGCTGCTTGAATTATTCAGTTACTTGATTTTGTTTTCTCTCATGATAATATTTTCAAGAGTTTTGTACTGTTAATCAACAGTGTCCCTGTGTTTCTTGAAAACACTGGATGTTCAGACAATAATAAGAGTTTTAAAATTTTTGCCACATCTTTTGGAATCAAGCGCTGTGATACTAAACCTGGATTGCGTGTCAACAACTGAATTCTGATATCATGACATCACAAAAACCCACATTTAGATATATATTTACATATATTTGCTTATTCAGTCCACAGCAGTTTAGCCACGCCCATTCATGTCGAAGTTATGTGGAGTGTTTCTGCCCAAACTGCTTTATGAATTATGCAAATTACAGGGCAGCCAATCAGAACGGAGATTAGTCATCAGTCTTAAAGGCACACTTACAAAAAACAGCCTGTTAATTTTTTTACTGTTTGTTGTACATAAACCAATACAAACGTCATGAGCTGACACAAGAAAAATGAAGCGTATGGACCAAATTAGTCCACAAGTAAATCATTTAACAATGAAGCTACGATGAGTACTTTTGTCCATAGCAATTTCTCAGCTGTTACAAAGGTTTAAATCGTCATATATTTTCTGTTTTTAAGCCTCTGCGTATAGCAGTGGAGCCGTTACAGACCTGTAGTTACTCTGAGGGGGGCAGTGAGTGGTCTGCAGCGCTGACAAGGCATTCCCCTCAAACATGGCAGACATCCTTAATGCGCTCAACCCAAATACCACATGAACCTGTTCATAAACGATTTCTGTGCAGGGTTTTATAAAGGATGATTACAGAATCGTATTAACCGGCAAATAAACGCTCGAAATAACCACACAGATAAAGTAGCGGAAGTTCGCGCACACTTTCTCACTGGCGTTGAAGACAATATTGCGCTTTTTGCTCTTCGTCGACCCCTGCTGGTCAGGAGACCCTCTGAACTTTTACTCGTTTCAAAAAACGAGTAAATTTCGATGTTTTGCTAACTCGAACGACAGCAAATGTACAGGTAAGTAGTTTTATAAGTAGTAGATGCAGATTCATTTTACAGCGTAGACTACAATTGTTACATAATCATAATTGTTAAAGAGATATAGTTAAAATACGCCCCCTCTCAGCCAGAGTGTCACATCCGATTTAAATCTTAGACTGGTCAACTTAAACATTCTTTATGCAGTTGTAACTTAGTTACAAAACTAAAGTATTATTATTATTATTATTATTATTATTGTTATAATGACAATATCATTATCATTACTATACTTATTAAGAAGATTTCGAAGATTTCGAAGGAAAAAAATCTTCTGATCTTATCATGATTATGATACAATTTCTATTTCCGCTGTTAAAATTAGTGACTTGTTTTTTTGGACTTCGACAAGATGCAATATCTACCTGTCTGTCCAATTAATCTCTCTCCCTGAAATCTCAATCTCTCTCTCTCTCTCTCTCTCTCTCTCTCTCTCTCTCTCTCTCTCTATCTCTATCTCTCTCTCAGCCCCTGATGGGAGCCACCAGAGCTGCTAGAGTCACCAGGGCTCCGTTTTGACCAGCATGGAGCTTCACACTGACTTCACGTGCATGAACTGACCCTCCTGATGCTGCTGCTGCTGCATAAACTCAAACTATCTAAAACCTGTCTAACCTAAACCTATCTAAAACCACCTGTTTTTCCTGTCCTGTTCCTATCCGGTGTCGACCAGAGGAGGATGGGTCACCCTTTTGGGTCTCTCTCAAGGTTTCTTCCTCGTGTTCTTAGGGTGTTTTTTTTGCCACTGTTGCCATTGGCTTGTTCATGGGGGCTCGGACCCGGATTTTTCTGCAAAGCTGCTTTGTGACAACACCTGTTTTAAAACGTGCTATATAAATATATATACATATGTATAAAATAATTATATAATTTTACATAAGCGGGGAACTCTGAGTGATGTACCGAGAAAATTAGACGTGATTCTATGAAAATAAACCATTATCGGCCAGTTTACCAGATTTAAAGTTTTCATTCCGGAGCAGCTGAATGTTATCTTGCTCCTCTTTCCGCGGGGCTGAACTTGGCTTATTCACCAGTTTCTTATTCGAGTTTTCCATTCCACCTTAAATGATGCAGTAGTTGCCTTTTGGGTACAGGCACAAAAATGTAACTGCAGCACCATTTAAGATGAAAATTTGAATAAGAAACAGGCAAAAACGATGCCAACTTATATTTTCCACAGCGTTCTGTGAAAAATATTGTTTACTACTGTTTTGTTTTTGTGCCTTGTACAGTTTTAAATCGTTGTTGCAGCCCTAATCTTAAAGAAAATGAAGTCGACTCCAAGCATTTCACCTCTCACTGGCCAACAGTCGGTCCTCACTGCGAGACGTGGAGTCGAAGAATCGACTCTTTTGGAATCGACTCCCCATCATTATTTAAAATATAGGACTTGGTCTCAGGAGCGCTAAAATGGGCTTATAGACAACGGGTATCACGCGGCACGACTTTGTATTTTTTAATTCAATAAAAGCTCGTGTGCTGGAACTTATAACAGGCACATATCCAGTACATATCTATCTATATCTATACCTATATACCTATATACCTATATATATATAGTTAAGTATCTGCTTGACTTTTTTACTGGGGGATAAATGAAGCGTACTGTGGCAGCTGAGGTCGGTATCAGCTCTTAGACTGCGAGGGTGGTGGTCGCTTTAAGAGAAGCTCCGCTGTGCTAGGACGCTGACGCTGTCCTGTCCCTCCGCCCCGGTTGACCGCTTGATGTGCAGACATTGGCTCCGAAACACAGAGGCCATTCCAGAGCTCTGAGCGTGTAGCGGTAAGTGCTTTTTGATTTAGTTATTTGATGTGAATTTAGGTCCCCGACTTTAACCGTTTGATTCCAAACCTACATCATTAGTTATTAGCTATCGGCTAACAGCGTTAATAGCATTAACGTTAACTCGGCGGCTTAAAAAACCAAGCGCCTCTCCTGTCCTGCTCTCTGTGCTGTTGCTGTTGTTGTGATGGTGTTATTTTTGTCGTCTTGATCAATTAATAGCTCAGACTTAGTTCATAAAAGCGACCTAATAATTTTTATTCAGCTAACAGAACAAATTGTGTTCTCAGTTGGTATATTTTAATGTGTTAGCTATGCGGTTCATGTAAAGTAAAATTAAGCCACATCAGTCATTTTGGCAATAAAACCATGGCAGCTCCAGCACTAACAAAACAGAGCTCGATAAACGAAATCATCGCCAATAGGTTGTTACTGAAAATGTATATTTTGTATCACATTCTGTAATATGAGATATGCCAACTTCTCCTAACAGGGCTCAGACCGAAAGTAAAGGCACTACCAGCAGCAAAACAATGGCACCAAGCCAGGTGAGTATCTTTATAACCCGTTAACTGTTCACTGAAAATCAAATCTGCCCAGTTTTCTCCATTCACCCCAAACATTCAGTCAGCCAAGACATGTTTGGTGTCTGAAGTTGCTTCTTTAGTTTTGCGCAGGAGTCTGTATCACCGAAAGTGACAGACCTGTATTGCCCGTTAGCTGTATTATAATAGCTCCAGCGCAAAAAACTAGTGAAGCAAACTTCGGACTCCAAACAAATCTTGGCTGATTGATTATTTTGGTCAAGGGCGGAAATTGTGTAAATTATATTTTTTTGGTGAACCATTCCTTTAAAACTTAAATTGACTACACACAATATTCTGTTCCTGCAGATTTATAACTAAAAATTCCAATAGCACGAATTTATATGTTTAACCCATTCAATAACAATATAAGTTGACTTAACTGTTCATAATACATTTATATTTCCCTGTTTGAGGAGAAGCCAGAGCTAGGCGACCTTATCGAAATTTTCCGGGGTACATACCAGCACTGGGCCATTTATATTGGTGAAGGTTACATCATCCACCTGGCTCCACCTTGTGAGTCCATTGCTAATACATTTCATTCTAATATTAAAAAGCACATTCACGATTTACTGGTCAAGTTTTAACAGAGCATTTAAAGGACTGGCCTTTAAATTACTTTCATTTTCATTTTGGGTTACACCCGTCTCCACATACCAGTTAGGCCGGTATGAGTGGTTGCTAATTATACATTATAACCGGTTAAGGTGATGGCTGAAAATAAGCACTGCAGTTTTTTTTTTGTATCATTGTTTTCTCTGCAGCTGAGCATGCCCAAGCCGGCGCCTACAGTATGATGTCCGTGCTGTGTGACAAGGCCATGGTGAAGAAAGAGCAGCTGTGGGACGTGGTGGGCAATGACCAGTACACCATCAATAACCTGATGGATGACAAATACGAGCCTCGACCTGTCAGGGTCATCCTCCGGGACGCGCACAGCCTTCTGGGCCAGGAGTTACCCTACTGCGTGTTTAGTGGGAACTGTGAGCATTTCGTCACTGAGCTGAGATATGGAAAGGCAGAGTCTCGGCAGGTACAACAGTCCACATAAACACAAGATCAATGTGTTTCAAGGTCCTGATCCAGTTTTTTTGATCCCCAATATGATCAGAGTACTTTAGTATTGAGCATGAGCCGAAACCAAGTATATTTGTGCTTACGTAGATAATACAGCCACAAAAGTTATGTAAGCTATGCTAGGCTGCCGATTAATGCTACAGTAAAATCACTTCATTTTGGCAATGTTCACATTACTATGCTGAATTCACACAAATCTTTTTTTTATGTGAGACAGATGTAATTTTTTCAGAGTCGTCTGGACAAAGAAATCTGATCTTTTCTATTCAGAGCTGAACCGCTTTGTGTATGTGGTCCTATACAGGTTACATATAGATTCATGCCCATGTGACCTGAGAAGTGAGAAAGGCCAGGATTTTTTTTTTATGTTTTTAACATTTTTGCATCATTCAGTTGTTTAATGAGAAATAGTTTATTGTAGAGAAATCTACAAACTTCACATATTTCTTTACAGTGGTGGTGATAGGAATCAGGGATGTGATGTAGCAGCGTATATAGTCATTTTATTTGCTATCCAAAACAACCAGTGGACCTACACGTTTTTTGTGTGCTTATATTTAATGTGCATAATGGTACAATAGTGGTAAATCTGAGAAAAAAAGTCTCTGGGGACCATTTTGCCTTCATTTGCCTTGCATGTACGTCTCCACAATAAACAAATTTGAAAAATATATTGTAGAAAATCTCAAAATCTACTCTCAAAACTAATATAAAACCATGTCTCAGGCACCAGGCAGTGTATTCGTAATCATTTAATACAGTAGTTTCCTATGAGGGAGCTTTCTCTGGAATTATGCATTTCTCATCAAACCATTCTGATTTACTTAGTTTACATGTTAACAATTTAATTATGCAGCCGTTTTGAACAATCTGTGGAATTTCCCTTTAACGAGGTATAAGGGTAGTGCTAGTAAACGCTGCAAAATCAATGCATCTGACCTTTTTTCACCTCATCTTGCTCAAATAATGAACAGCTGACAACTGTGGAGAGCAGATAAACTTAGTAAGAAAGGCTTTTTTTACTTGTTAGTTTATTCGTTGTTCATGTTGTTCAGTTCATCCTGGTTCATTCAAAAACCCAGAACTGGGCAATGAGGCTTGTAAGGGAATTTTTCTGTCATTTGCATTCAAGGAATCAAATTCTCCAAAAACAATACATTTGAACTCTACTTGCAAGCTGAAATGCTTTAGCTGATATTACTCACTAGATTCCTAACTACATGAGCAGTGTCTTTTCCTCCCAGCTACTGTTGGGGGTTTTTAATCATCAAAGTACAGTAAGTCTCATTTACAAGTAAAATAAACCAATGATGCCAGCAAGACCTTGTTAGCAACATTATGTAAATCAGCACAGTTATGCTACAACAAATTGAGATAATACAAGATGAAATCCAGCAATTTTGCAAAATTCCTGCATAATTCAATAGTTTAGATGTAAATGTATTTTGATGTGAATTGGTTAACTGTAGAGAAACTTAACAACTCCCATTTCTTTACAACAGTGGTGACGAACCAGAGATAAAAAAATATACACATTTACCACCCAAAACCACCAGTGAACCTGCACGTCCTCTAAAGATTTTGTTGATAATGATTGATAATGAAAAAAAAAGTGGAAAGAAAAAAAACAATCAATTTTCTTTTGGGACTAATTTGCCTTATGATGCCCTGCATGTACCTCTCTGCCCAGAAAAAAAAAAACATTTTATTTTAGGCCAAAATCGTATCTCTAATCACACATCAGGTAGTGTATTCATAACTATTTAATGTAAAAGGAGGGAGCTTTTAGGTGCATTAAACTCTATACATCTGGTTCCTTTCAGCACCACTGAACAATTCTGACTGGGCAAGTTCTAGAACAGAGCATTTCACATCAAAACGTATACTTAAATTTGAATCATTTAAGTATGCAGAAATTGAAACATTGGTGGAAATTCTCTTTAATGCTACCGAATAATTCTGATGAAGTTCATTCTGTATACTCTTATGCCTTAATGTTGTTTACTAGGAAAAAAAAAGATACTGCATCTCAGTTTCTGTGTGGTATTTGCAGGTGCGGAAAGCAGTGGAGGTCGGAGTAGGTGTGGGTATTGCAGCTGTGTTTGGTGTGGGAGTTCTTGCTGCTGCAGCTGCCATTTTCGGATCAGGGAACAAGGAGAAAAAGAGCACACAGTGAACTATGAGATGAAGAGGAGCTGTAGGCACAAATCACCAGCAGGCCTTTTAAATGGATCTAAAGCCTCTATGCATTATACACTTACACACCTGGCCGCTACTTTGGATACTGGATGTATATAGAGATTTGGTTTTGACTAAGCACAAAAAGATAATAACACTATTTATTTTCTAACTCCTTGTAGTGACATTTCATTATATATATATATATATATATATATATATATATACACACACACACACACACACACACACACACACGAGAGCAGGTCTCACCAATAAAATATAGATAGACTTTGATAGACTTGTAATTCTAATTAGTTTTCTATGAGGGAATCTTTTAAAACTTAGCCCTGTTAGGGTACAACATGTTAAAACTGGGGTTGACTTGCAGTAGTGGTATGGGTTTGGGGAGCGGTGGTCCAGCTTTTTAAAGAAACTTCTTAACTGTTCTTGACATTTCCCAGTTCAGGTCTCTCTGTTAAAGTCAACACAATAATGAAGGGAATAATAATGAAGGGAAAAAACAGCCAAAAGAACACTGCCCTTTATCCATCATCATGGTCAGACATCATCTGTGTTTGACATGCTATTGGCTCCAGTCAGTTTTAATTACTGTTTAACAGAACTGATTCATGATCAGAAACTACTGTTTGTGTACTGGTGCCAATTTGCTTTGTATTGGATTTATATATTAAGTGTTTAATATATTAAGTGTGTGCTTTGATAATGTAAAATGTGTAAGTTCATATTAAACTGGTTATGTTTGATCATACTCTTGCATCAGAGTCTGGCATTTCTCTCGGTAACCTACTAACCTGCAAACCCCACTAACTTAATAATGTAAGGGATGCCGATTTAGGGTACACAATAAAGCACTTTGCCAGTTTTTGTGTCCAGAACAGCTTACTGAAAGAGACCTTTGTTGCTGCTTACACAATGCTTGGTAACAGAAAGCTAGTGTATTGCACTGTGGTTGAGCAAGAGGCAAAAACAGCACAGTACGTCTGGGGAGGCAAGCTCCCTTCCATTTTTATTATCATCACTATTATTTCTTAAGGTTGTACTTTCAAGAGTGCACATAATACATGATTCACCCTCCTCAAGATATTGCACCAGATCATAAAAACCAACATTCAGACCAAAGGCATGTCATAAAATAATATTAAAAAAGGGAAAATGTGTATCATTCAACATCTTAATGCCTCCCAGCCCATATCATACAGTACTTCTACCAAAAGGAAAAGGAAAGGAAAAAGAAGGCACAAAGCAAAAATAGAAGGAACACCCCTCACCTTACATTGTCGTAAGCCCTGCAAGAGCACGTGGAGGTTGTCATGGTTAATTTGTCTTGTTTTTCGTAACATATAATGATGTTCATGCAAGCACTGGAATTATGCAGGTCTGCCTGGGACAGTGATTGTGTGACAGGGTTTTATCTGCAGAAGCACTTTGAGTCTCTCTCATCCAACAGATTTTCTCTCAAGGTTCAAGCGTTCAGTATTAAGTGTATATTCAACATACACACATACTACAATATCTAGGTTGAAGTACACATTTTTTTAATATAAAAAAAAAGTCTGACTCTCAGTGCCATTCTCCAGCAAATGTGTCCATGCACATGATAAACTGATACTGTAATCAGTATAAAAAGGACCATGGTATGATTCTATTAGCAGAGGCGATATAAATATCGTAGTTTAGGCTGTGTTGTCCCTTACTCAAACATATCTAGGTGACGGGTGACTATGATGTCACTTTCACCCCGCCCCATCCAACAACCAATGAAAAGACAGCTCCGATTCCTCCGACTCCACTATCATGGATCATGGAATGTTTCCTTAAGATCAAGCACTGACCAATGACCTTCTGCCGATGCATCAGGGCCCTCAGCTTTGCCACGCCTCTGTTCTGGATGCTTCCTTTCTCAGTCCAGCTTGCGTGCTCCCAGTTTGAGAGGGCCTTTGGCTGCCTTCCGCTCTGCCCTCTTGGCCTCCAGCTCTCGCCTCCTTTCCTCACGCTTCTTCTTGGCTAACTCGGCCTTACTAAGACCTAAAAAGGAATATGAGCAACATTTACCTTCAAATAAATTTTCTGTAATCCTAAAAACTCACCATGCTAACAGAAATGCCTGGAGTTCTTTGCTTAATTTTCTTAATTTTTTTTTTTTGCTTAATCTTAATTTTCATGTAACTATGGGCTTCTATTTTTCTAGCAAGTAACACAACTAGCCAGAAAACATAGGTGTATAAAATTTACTTTGTTGCAGAACATGTATATAATGATTAAAATATGATGTTTTTATTCTTATTCTCCAGGGATTCTCCAATTTAAATGACCAAATTGTAAGGCAAATTATTCAGTAACTGCATGAAATAAATGTATTTTTTTTTTTTTTGAGTAAAAGCTCCCCTCAAATTAACAGAACATGTTTTATGATCATACACATATTGCTACATGTTCACAACTTACTGCTGAAAGCCAAAAATCTTACACGCTCTTTGTATTATTTTATAAAGATAATTTTTACAGAGCGGATCACTGAAGAGACACCATCTGTTTATAGTTTATAGCCCAGATTTGTGGAAAAATGGGTCGACTTTCATTAGACAAAAAAAAAAAAAGTGAGTTCAGCTTCTTTTATTATAAGGGTTTAAAATTACATTACCCATCTATTTGACAGGAAAGAAGACAGTTACAGCTCTCATATGACACCCACTTTTTGAATGTAGCTTATGAAATATGAAAGTTATGAAGAATATGACGAAGTACGTTTTGGGACCACCAGTGGTCTCAAGGAGTTAATCTAAAATTTAAAATAAGATACTCAATTTGTGGGAAGCTGTAAATATTTAGATATGTCCACAATGATGAACAAAGCTGTAGATAATTCAATAACTCTAAAACATTGATAATACAGTTAGAATAAAATTAGTATTCCAAATGCCTTGAATTTGAATTTATATATCATTTATTACTTTTTTGCTGTTCCCCAAAAAAATAACAGTGAAACATTTAGAAGAATATCAGTGTAAACTATATAATAAAAGGTGTAATGATTTCAACACGTATTGAAAAAAAAATCGAGATTTGTGTATCAAAAACCTGTATGGCCTATAAGCTCCTCGGTTTTTTCAGAGTCTCTCACTTAATATCTTTCATGGAAACCACTGTCAACAATCAAAAGTAGGCCTTTGGGAGCATTTTATCAGAGTAAGATGGGCAGGAGAGGGTGTAGAGGGGCTTCTGCACACAACCAGTTTTAAACAACTGGGCTTTTTAGAAATTATTTAGAAATTCCAGAGCTTATAATTTTGCGGTTTATTTTATTAGTGGACTGGTCAGCACTGAAAAAGATTTATCACAGAACTTGTATTTGTGAGCCAAACTAATCTGTGTAGTATGTAATTGGAGCTCTTAATAGAATTCTATCTTATTATATTAAATAATTAAACTAAATTGAATCTTGAATACTTAATGTGAAAATATGTGAATTGTTATGTCCTTAGTATACACGCAAGCAAGCTCAATACAAGGCACATATTCAGGAACTTCTTTTTATCTGCTGTATCGACACCACTGCATTGTATTGTTACATACATATATCATCTCTGGATGCATCCATGTAGGGCAAACATTTTTGTTATTAATGCTCGTACAACACTTTGGATGTTGAACACTATGATGCTTGGAGTGTCTCCACTGTGAACACTGGAGTAGGTTATATAATGATGTGAAAGTGAATGCGCAATCAGGCATTTAAACAACAATAAGATTTCTTAACAAAACACAACATTGCTAACAGTGAAACTGACCCTGATCACCATCCAGTGACTCCCAGTTCTCCTCCGTTCCCCAGTCACCTGCAGCATTCGCTCCCCAGCCATCATCAGCCTTCTAGAAATAACAGAACAAACAAACACACAAATTTAGTCTGGACTTCATTTTAAATCTTTCATGTCAAGAAGAGGGAAAAACGTAGCCTCACAGATCGATCATGTTACCACAGTCTAACAAGGGAAAAAATGGCTGGTGCAAGCAGATGTCACAGATGTTGGTGTTAACTTTAGACGTTGCAACTGTTACATCTGAGCTTTAAAGCTTCAGATTTAAAAGTTGCAGGGGGTTTTACATTACGCAATGCAAGTGATAAGTTTATTTTGTTTCATTTAAGTTTTGAGGAACTACAGTAAAGGTTTCACCACATAAAGCCCGTCACACAGAAACCCCATTTGTTCTTCATTTGTCTGTCTGCACTTCTTTTCATCAAAATCTCTCTCACATCTGCATTTTCTATTCTCATTTCTTTATCTTCATCTTTCTCTCTCTTCTCACCATAGAAGCAGCAGCAGGGCTGGCCCTCTGGGATATGCTGGAGAGCAGGTCAGATGTTGTCCCTTTCCCACCTGCACTGTCCCAGTTATAGTCACTGGCCAGTCGCACAGCTTCCTGTCCAGAGCTCGCACTGGCACTCTTAGGGATGAAAGCTGAGGAAGAGGAGGGAGTAGTATTCCGTGGTGTTGGGGTGAAGCTCTCTGCAAGAGCCCCATCATCATCCCAGTCGTTACCCCATCCCTCGTCAGCCGGTGAACTCTGACCTTGTCCATCTGCGTCCTTCTCATTGGACCAGCTGTCATCAGCATCCCAGCCAGAACTGCTCCAGTCAGAACTCTGCTTTTTCATAGCTCCAGAGGAAGTCCTACCCACCTGCAAGAAAAGAAGAAAACACAGATGTTGGTTCCCTATTCAGAGCCGTAAGACCTTCAAACACTACTTTGCAGTTTCACAGCCTATAACTGAGAGATTGTACTTTATTATGTATATTTATTCAACAATTACGCTGATATTCATATGGTCCTGTCATTTAAAAACACTTGAGGGATGAATCCACACTAATGGTCTCTCATTCAGTTTACACATACGATATAAACATACTTATATGAGCACAGTATACTTACACTGCTTTTTTTCTGGGTTGAAGACATGGTGGACCAATCGGAGTTCCAGTCATCTGGGTCTGTCTGTGCTTTCTCAGGATCCTGACAGCACACAGATTGAAAAAAGGCAATAATGTTGGACATTTTACAAGTAGTTTTATCAAAATTAAAAAAATACTCTACTGACTAGCTTTTGCATGTGCAATCACCTCAAGGCTTCCCCAGTCTTCATCGTCCCACCGATCTCCAACTGCTTCCTCTGCCTCTTTTGCAGCTTCGGACTGATTAGTAAGAGTAGATGATGTAGGTGCACTGGGAGTGAGCGCCTTTGTGTCTGAGCCTGATGTAGAAGGGGGAAAAAAAAAAAACAGGTATTAAATAAATAATTAAAAGCAACTTCAAAGCACTAACAGGAAAAAAACAACATTCTAGAACAGTCAGCAAGATGACAGGATGAGAGGAAAATATGAGATCTACACAGAAAGCAGCCAAATTTGGGCTCCTGTTGCTATAGCTACCCTGTTCAGAATTTATGTTCTACAGTTTACCTGCTGCATTTGTTGCACCTGTAGCGGCTGAAGGCTGTGGAGTGGAAGCGTTACCAGCTGCTGCGCCTTCACTGCCCGCTGGTGCATTGCGGATGAGTTTGGAAGTGAGAGAGGAGACGCCCGTCACTGCCCAGCCTGCCCATGTCGCTGCTGAACCACCGGCCTGTGCAGACGCAGTCACATCCTTTTCTGGAAGGAAGAAGCAAAATAAAAGAACAGATTTTAAAAAATGTGAACATAATTACTAAAAGAGCTACAGGTAGCACCTAAAATGCTGAGGGCTTTAGCTTTCACATAACATCATATGATAACAGCATACTACCATATTTCAACAGATTTTTTTAAAACCCATAAAACTTTTTAAAAGCAGTTAAGTACATGAGCTGTCATACCTATTTCAGCTAGTTTAGATGGGTCATCAGAAACTGTCTCCAGCTTACTCAGAAAACTCTTAATGGCTTTAAACGCCTACAGGATAGTGGGAGAGGACGTCAGTCATAATTAGCCTTTTATGTCAGATTAAATCATGTCAATAAGTTATTCAAATATGACATTATTTACAAATGCATGACAGACACTAGAAATTAAATTGACAGAGTTCTCATAGAAGTTGTAATTATTAGCATAAAATACATCCCAATGCTGAGAAGACTACAGCCAGGGTAAGAGCTAGACTCAGTAGGTGGGCATTTACCTGGTCTCGGACGTTCTTGTCAGGGTCCACGGTGAGTGGGCAGAGGGTGGGCAGGATGCGTGTGGCACATTCACTCACACTATAATAATGATTTGTGGCAGCAAAGCCCAGCACGCCAGCTGCCCGTGATGCGGGGAAGGGGTCTTTAGTGGCTCGGGAAAACGCGGAAGTCAACACCCGTTGGCGCATCTGACCCAATATACAAACACAGGAAAGTAAGACTAAATATTCTTTAAATATCCATACGCCTTGTGTTAGACTGCTGAACAAATACAACTAAAATCTGTCCAAAACATGCAATAAATGTATCAAAGGTGATCACTTTGAGTCTGATGCAATAATAAAAGCTGACAGTCTGCACTAGTCTTAACATCATTATTACTGTTACAGTCTGTGATGCAAAAAACATGCAAATAGTGAAACGAAGTTAAAAGTGGCAGTTACCCCAGCATTAAGATAGGGGGCAATCTTGCCCAGGCAAACAGTGGTGTTGCAGCGGATAGGACCCTGATCATCTCTAGACTGCAGTCTTGCAAAGTGCCGCATCAACTCCTGATTCAGGTTGGTTTCGTTCAGCTTAGGAGCTAATAGAAGCATAGACTACAGAAAAGAAAAGAAAAAACATGGTATTCATTTCAGATCTAACAGTTCACACAGTCCTCTAACCCAAATCCTAGAGGGTCAGTATTCTTCATATAAATGAAACTTTTTAAACTTTTTTTTTTTCCCCCCTTATCTGCCTTACACGATTTAACATAAATGATGAGTTAAATGAGGTCTGTTACAGCAAGGAATACTATACAGTGCTACACCCCTCTTGCACTAAAAACTGTAATTTAGCACTAAATGACAATTTCAAAGCTAGGATGGTTACCATCAAGATTACATTAACTAGTCTCGCGACACACCTATTCCCCCAAAATAAACTTTTATGCTAAACAATCAATTCTAAACAACAAATATCATTAGGTATCACTCTGAACTAAAGTTGCAACTATCAAATTTTCAAACATTTTATTCAATGTTATCTTGAATATTTGAATATTCTCTAAGAATAAGTTGCAGGCCCTCACAGCCAGACTGCGCAACCGTTTCTTTCCACAAGCCATCAGATTCCTCAACTCCCACAGACTCTCACAAACATACCATCTCCATTCCCACTGCTTGAAATTCCAGTTTATGTCTGTGACACTGTATTTAAAAATAATCATTGCATTTCACACTGAAATACTTAATATAATTCATATATCTGCCTACTTTCATTTCTGCACATTTTATTTCTTAACAATATTGGCTGCTAGAATATTGTGTCAACCAAATAATGTATTCCGTTGCTGTTTTTCTGGTTGCTACCTCAAAGACTTCTATGCTCACATATGCTAGGCTACCTGCTAAAATGTTATAGTATGTTACATCCTGCTGTGCACAACTCGACATATTCTCAGTACCGTGTACCGCCTGCGTTCTGTTCTGTATTTATTGTAAGTTTTTTGTATTTATTGCACTGCATTGTCTGCACTTTGTATACTGTATTGTTTCGCATGTGTGTTCCTGTGCTGGTCCTGGAGGAAAGTTGTTTCTTTTCACTGTGTATTGTATATAACTGAAATGATAATAAAGCCTCTTGAAAACTCAGGATGTTTCAATTTAATAACTGATTATTATCATCATCATCATCATCATCATCATTATAACTATTATTATTATTATTATGATAAGTGGTTAATGTGCCGTTGCCTAATAAAAGTGGTTAATGTGCCGTTGCTTCAGACAGCTATTGAGTTTTCAAACATTTTAATTATTAGATTTACTGCATATTATCAAATATTTGCTGCAGCACTAGACACTCAAACAGTTTATTAATTAAAAAGTTATTTAAAAATAACTTTTAGCCTGAAATTACAATCAAGTTAGACGATAATCAACTAAGCGAATACCTTGACGGTTTGTTCCCTAATGGCTGGGTTTGTGTCCGTGAAGCCATGAACTACATGAGGAAAGATTTGAGAATTGACTGCTGCCTCATTCAAATACTGAATAAACTGCTCCATCTGTGTGACAAAGACAAAGAGAACAAAGAAGGCAGTGAGAAACAAAGAATTACCATTTAATAGGCCTGGTGTCGTGTACACATATATTCAAAAAAAAAATAGGGTATGCAATAAGGGTGACCTGCTGCAGAAGTCGTATCCTCATCGCTCGATCAGTAGAGGAGAACATCTTCACTATGACCGGGATGATTTTCTGTTGATATTCTTCAGCAGACAAATACTTTCCCACCTGAATACAAACATAATACAGAGAACACTGGGCCTCATTCACCATTCATTCTTAAAAATAAATTTCTTTTTAAAATCCACTTATGCAGTTTTTACAAAAAAAACTGACATTCACCAGTGTTTTCTTATTTGGAATTTGGTTCTTAGGTAAGAACGGAATCTACACACACTCGAGAAACTCAACAAAGGTGTAAACAATTCTGTGGTTTAAGAACACATCATCAATTCGACAGACTTTTCCTTAAGTCCTTTCACCAGAACAAATTTAAAAAATATAAAAAAACTGCCCGCAGGGGAGGATATTGGTGAATGAGGGCCATTGCTGTTGCTTGGAGAAGACTACTGTTACTCTTTGTTTCTCTCTCTGCATTCATGAAAAGTGGTTAATGTAGCCTCCCTGCCATGTCATGCCAACCTCTCAGTGGTGTGCTGCACTAAATGAATCGTAAATTACACTCATGTAACAAGTTATAATATTACATTATAACTATACAACAACTGCACTAAACCTTGCACTCTAACACAATAAAATTACACTCTTTTGACTGCAATGCCACATTATACAGTGGTGTGAAAAAGTGTTTGCCCCCTTCCTGATTTCTTATTCTTTTGCATGTTTGTCACACTTAAATGTTTCAGATCACCAAACAAATTTAAATATTAGACCAAAAAAACACAAGTAAAACACAAAATGCAGTTTATAAATAAAGGTCTTTATTATTAAGGGAAAAAGAAATCCAAACCTACAGGGCCCTGAGTGAAAAAGTGATTGCAGGCCTCACTTGCCTCAGTTAAAGTCAGTGTTCATGACTCCACCCTAAGAAAGAGACTGGGCAAAAATGGCCTGCATGGCAGAGTTCCAAGACGAAAACCACTGCTGAGCAAAAAGAACATAAAGGCTCGTCTCAGTTTTGCCAGAAAACATCTTGATGATCCCCAAGACTTTTGGGAGAATACTCTGTGGACTGATGAGACAAAAGTTGAACTTTTTGGAAGGTGTATGTCCCATTACATCTGGTGTAGAAGTAACACAGCATTTCAGAAAAGGAACATCATACCAACAGTAAAATATGGTGGTGGTAGTGTGATGGTCTGGGGCTGTTTTGCTGCTTCAGCACCTGGAAGACTTGCTGTGGTAAATGGAACCATGAATTCTGCTGTCTACCAAAAAATCCTGAAGGAGAATGTCCGGCCATCTGTTCGTGACCTCAAGCTAAAGCGCACTTCGATTCTGCAGCAGGACAATGATCCAAAACACACCAGCAAGTCCACCTCTGAATGGCTTAAGAAAAACAAAATTAAGACTTTGGAGTGGCCTAGTCAAAGTCCTGACCTGAATCTGATTGAGATGCTTAAAAAGGCAGTTCATGCTTGGAAACCCTCCAATGTGGCTGAATTACAACAATTCTGCAAAGATGAGTGGCCAAAATTCCTCCACAGAGCTGTAAAAGACTCACTGCCAGTTATTGCCAATACCTGATTGCAGTTGTTGCTGCTAAGGGTGGCCCAACCAGTTATTAGGTTTAGGGGGCAATCACTTTTTCACACAGGGCCCTGTAGGTTTGGATTTCTTTTTCCCTTAATAATAAAGACCTTCATTTATAAACTGCATTTTGTGTTTACTTGTGTTATCTTTGTCTAATATTTAAATTTGTTTGGTGATCTGAAACATTTAAGTGCAACAAACATGCAAAAGAATAAGAAATCAGGAAGGGGGCAAACACTTTTTCACACCACTGTAACTACAGGCTACAACATGCTTATTGCACCTTCTTTAGTGTATAAGATTAAATACAGCATTGCACCGAAATTTTTACAATAGGCTGCAAAATAGTCAAAACATTGACACTTTCCGTTTTCTCCTGAAAGAGAAAAAAATTCTGGCTGGAAAAAAACCCCAAAAGATTAGACAGGCTTACGATGAAATGTCAAAATCTAAAAATTAACAAGTCATTTGAATGACAATGAAAACAACAGTAATTAAAAACACTGTTTTCCTTCAGCACAGACATATTCAAACAGTTTGAGCAGCAGCAGAGCATCAGTTGGAAAAAAGTCAGCAGTGTGGAACTATTTTACTGGTTCTATGAGGATATTAGGCAAGCGATTTATAATCTCTGCTCATATTAAGTATCAAGAGGGGATACAACACCCAGGAACTACTTCACTACAGGCTTGATACCACTTGAAAATATGACCTCCCGCTTGATACACAGAATACAGCAAAACAACAGTGCAGAAAGGAAAGTTCCTGCTAGCACACCACCATCTGTAGTCACAGCTTTTGAAATGATGAAATAATTCACAAATGAAAAGCCCAAAGTATAACTAATAAAACAGAACTGACAGTCTTGGGTGACCATTAGTACATTCTGTGATAAACTTACTGAAAATAAGTTTACTATTACAAACTGTCTTTATTCATTATTAGCCCAGTTTGTCTCACTAAAAGCAGATTTTATCAACAGTAAAAGTGTATTTTCTCAATTTCCCTGTGGTTTTTGAGTGCATTTACATAAAAGCATAAATAAAACAGCAAATTAATTAATTAAACAAACAAACTTTGTTTCTGTGTTTTGGTTTTTTAGCCAGGTGTGTGCTGAATTTTGTTGCATCAATAATTAACTAAAAAAAAAAACATTGATAAGGAACACCTGAATCCTGCCTAACCATTTTTTCAGAATAATACAAATTAATTTTATCTAAAACCACAGAACCATTAACAGTACTAAAAAGTAACAAGTACCAAAAGTAATATATCGTCACTGTTGCACGAAAACCTCTATTTTTGTCGTTTTCTACTATTTTTTGCATCATTTAAAAATCTCCAGTTCCCTTTGCTTTGTGTCAGAATTTTGTGATTAAGTGAAGGGACCAATACAAACTGTCCAAAATTATTTGGGGCACTTGCTATATAAGCTAATGTTTTTCCGTTCTCCTGTAAAGTTTTATATCTTTATATCCATTTTGGAGATATAAGGTTTTCTTCTGGCAGCAAGAATAAGCTTAAATATTTAATATTATTTCACATGTACTCTAAAAACACATTACCTTAAAGAGTGGTGTGAGAACAACTGCACCAGCATTGCCAAACTCAAAGGCTGTGAGAAGCTGAGGCAGAACTTTGTGTTTGCAGAAATCTTCAGGGAAAGAGTCCAGATTATCACTCAGATCCTGAAAAAACTGTTGTTTCTCTGCTGGCTCCTTAATCTAAAAGATAGACATGTCTCATAAAACACATAAGCAACAACAAAAACAAAGAGCAGATGACTTTACTATGATATACAGCAATAATCAGTCAGAAAAGGTAGCCAAAACAAAGCTGACAAAATCAGCATATCCAATATCCAATAAAACAATAAAACATGCTAATAAAAAAATAAAACATGAGGTAGCAAAGTAGCTGATTAATAAGCGAACTATAGCCTTGCTAGCCTTGAAATTACCCCAAAGTAACTTTGTTTTACCAGAAATCAAGCACTTCAGACTAATTACCTACAACATACCTCTAGCTTTATAGTATTCAACTGAGAAAATGTACATAGGTGGTGTGGCTCTACCTGTATCTGTTCCAGAAAGAGGTTACTCTCCACAAAGCTGTTGCTTAGAAAGCCTCCAGGAGAGCGACAATTCTGCAGGAAGCGGGCCGGATTTGGCCGAGCCTTTGGGTTTGCCCCTACCAGCTCACAATAATGTGGTACCAGCTGCTTTGGGATCTGCCAGACGTAGTGGGGGGTACATGTATGAAAAACATCCTTTGACTGAACACAAACAATTATGTCTTATCTACTGTAGATAAAATGAGCGAAGATAAAAGATCTGAGGATAGAAATGATTGCTCATAAGTTCTTTCACCCTCCAGCTGTATCTTCATAAACACTGATAAACGTATTTGTTTACATTTATTTTATACATGTATAAAATAGGCCCACTGAAGGTATTACAGAATCCTTTGTTAGCCTAAAACAGATCACCTGTGGTAGTTTTCCTGGCTCCTGCCCCTGCATGATTTTTGTCTATATTTGACAGTCACCTGTGTTCACATCCTTAACTCTAGCTTCTATGCAAATAAACTGTTATATACGCCCTAGATACACTCTAACAACACTGAGCTGCGTTACCTTGCCGAGAGATCGTAGAGATGAGGCACGAGGGAGAGGTCCATTAAACACTTCCCAAATTAGACAACCCAGCCTCCACACATCACCTGACCTGGTAGACAGCAAACACATGCACATTCACACAGTTTGGTAGAAACCCATACAGTCTATGGCAGCATTTCAGAGCTAAAGGAAGACCAGAACCACTTGCTGAGTGGCATGATGAAAATTTCAGTTCTTAACGAGGTGAACCGGTTTCACCTAGTGAGTGAAAAAACTGAAGACTAGCTGAAATAGATAACAATTAGCAAACAGGGCTGTCAGTATCTATCATCTATTATGTTAGTAATCAAGTCATCTATAAATTATTTTGATGATTAATCAAGTAAAGACTTTTTTAATAGCCAAAAAATAAAAATAGGCTTAAATGAACAACAACATAATGTGCAGAGCCTTTCAAAGATTCCAAAATATTTTACCGAAAAATACACACAAAACCGTAGCAAAAAAGCATATAAATGGGTGCGTAAACTAGCCTATTTCTTAATATGAGAGACAGTACGAGAACCTAAAATATGTATTATCAGAGTATCTGCAGGAATCAGCAATATCAACTTGATGCTTTTTCACACAGAGAAATTATGAGATATCTTCAATGAACGTGACATGGTTGCATATCACATATGGCAGTATGTAATGCAAAAATATCTGCCTTATAAGTACCCCGAGCACCACTACTAAGATAATGTTAATTTGCAGTGGCACATCTATGGAAATTTCAATGTTATGATAGCACCAAGTTAATGGTGTACATACTCTTTCCATACAGGGTTTAATACCACTTAAGCCAGCTTCGCTTAAACACTGAAACTTGAAGCATTTGAGATTTAGACATTTAGGAGTCATATTTATTACTTCGTGTGTTTGCATGCATCTTTACAGCGACTTCTTTGGTAAAGCCTAATGCTGAATATTACTGGAGGAGCCTGTTAGCTCTCTGCCGAGCTGTTCAGCCTAAACCTTTAAATAAAATCTTTTACCTCATATAGACTTACTTCATATTTGTGACAACAAACAATTAGATTTTTATATATAAACTATATAAAAATATATACATGCAATATATATGAAATTTATAACTACAAACATATATGCATTCGCGAGATCCTGCTGGTGTGGGTGTCCTCTTTTTCAACGATGCAAACAAAAGCAACTTCAGTGCTAATAGCTTACGGTGAATCAGCTAATGCCAGGTTTATAATGACCTGAGGATACCCTGTTTATCATTCATTCATCATTCAAATGACAAACTAATTACAAAGCTGATTTATTAAGAATGCAGAATTTATCACATTCATTTTTCTAAGTCAAGTTATAGATTTAAAAACAAGTAACTGTGACAGCCCTAATTAGCAAAAACCTGTCAAGCGTCCCTGTTTTTCCTCCCAGTGTTATACTCACCATTTCTCTCCTCCACTGTTGGGGCTCTCTGGGGGGTCATACTTCTCCAAGTCAGGGTTCACCACTTTGGCCGGAGGTAAGGACGAGGGTTCACCTTGGTCCGAGGTCACGTGATCCAACCCTCCTAGTTTCCATTCACCCGCTCGGTCCACAAATATCGCCCACATCCCAAGGTTATTATGGAGAAGATGACAGTCATTCACTAAAAAACTCAGTGCTTTCTAAATGGAGAACAATCAGAGAACAGAAAAATATGTAAGTTACTGACAGGCAAAAAGAGAGACACGGAGAGGTAAGAAGAGAGACATTCATGTGTATGAACCCACAATTACATCACAATCATGTCTGTATTAACAGCTGTATTTTACTGCATTCATAAAATTAATGTTACACTTCTTTGAAGTGCTAATCCAGGTGGATTTAGCCCCATTTTTAACATTTAATCAATGTGTGCATTAACATTTGCCTCAAACAGGTATGTGCATTTAAAATGAATGGATATTGCCATCGGCCCAGATTCTCAGTGCTCTCCATTCCATCTACTCACCACAATCTGATGAAGGCCCCAGGAAATCTCCAGCTCCCCTGAGCCCCCACCCTCTGCCCGAGCTTTCAAGTGTGTAGCAAGGGGGGTAATTGGCTCTGTGACCAAATACAAGCTTTTATCCGTCTGCCATCAAAGAAGAAGAAAAAGAGAAACTTCAAGATAGATACTTATTGTCACTGCTTGGAGCAACAGTGCATGTGTGAAGTGGTCGACTGATAAATTGATCCCAGATTGACCATCGCAGTACTAAACTGATACTGCAAGTACAAACCTATTACCTGTTATTGATATAGGGTTAAATTAAATCGAGGCCATGCGTTACTGCAATTTTATCATGGGGCAGGGGGGTTTTAGGCACCGCGCTATATGTCGGAACCAATCCATTTTATAACAAGCAATGAAACTAGATGTAATGTACAGCTGAACAGTTAGATGTGTGAAATGCTACATGAAAACAGGAATACATTAAATGGCAGATGGTAACTTCCTCTTTAAATCTGAAAAATGCTGAGCATGAACCTTTAACATGTGACTACTCCGTCAAATCCAAAAATGGTAATTACTCCACCTTTAAATTAGTGCCACGTCATTGACCTTGCATGAACATGCATGACCTTGCATGAACATTTACTATGTAATCAAAAACGACCACCGTTACATAAACCTGAATATTAAGGTCACTTATTGGCTTATTCAAGATTTCAGCACAGCACAGTACCAGGAAGATGACCATTCCTTGAGAAAATCGTTTTGACATAAATAAGAACTGCTAACATCCAGCCTATCTATCTCTCAACCTTCCTGAGAACCACTGAGGCGCCATTCAAGATAAAAGAGATCACTCATAACCTTGGATCTGACCGAAGTTAGCTGAGATGCATGACAGGCACATCCCACTGTGTAGTCGCAAGATTTCATCATTGTCATCACTGTAAATGTTACTGTGCAATAATGGATTAGAATCCAAGCATATCTAAATTTAGATCATAATGAGATATGAAAGAGAATGACAATACTTTTCATCAGCACAGACCTGCGCAAAGTAGTTATATGCCAATGCAAATTACTCAGTCACTCTTTCCCTTTCATATCTCATTATGTGTATTAACTTTTCTTGCACATTTTTTGCTTTATTTAAACTGTGAAATGCAGTGTTTTTATGCAGAACCGCTGACATGTTAAGATTTTTGCTATTATATTTTTATGCCTGGGATAATTGTGATTAAATCCTCCCCTTAGTTGAAAACCAAACAACTGTTGTTCTTTTATTTTTAAACCAATTACCACACAAGATTCAGTGCTATAGAAAATCGCCCTAAATCATCATCTCATTGACTCATAAGATAAAAAATAACAGTACGTGTGTAATGGGTTCACATTTTAGTATTCTCATGATTTTTTAACCAAAATTCAAATGAATTAAAATGTTGACTGAACCCATGTTGTTGCATAACTTACTAGCAACACTAGCGTTGGGAGACAAGTGGAGTGCTGGAGCTAAGAATTGATTAGTGCTAATCGTTTGGTGTTCAAATAAGTCAAGTGCATTAGATGGCATAATAATAGAACATCCATTCCCCACCATGCATTGTCATAGTTTTGCATGGTGATATCCCAATGTATTGTTACACACCTAGTATCAACTGCACCACCGAAACATTACACTTTGCTTTATTCTTGGGCAAAATTGAATCTTCTTAATCTCTATACATCAGTCCTCACCTCCAATCCATCTACATAGGACAGGATGTTGGGATGTCTCAGCGTCTTCATGCGTTTGAAAGCTGCTTTGGCCAATTGTGTCTGCTCCTCTGTTCCCTGGGCCACTTCGTACAAAAAGACAGACACTGGTTCTCCAGTTGTCTACAGAGGAAATGGAAAAACGTATAAAAAGTAAAATTTATTGGTAAAGACAAACAGCAGCTTCGGGCCACCATACAGTGTCACAGAGTAATTAAACTGTTTTAGGAGAACGCTGGCAAAACAAGAACAGACATTCCCTTGGGGAAAAAAAATCACTTGTGAATAATCAAAAAAACAATAATGTTTATTAAACACTTCACACAGTATTTTTTTACATAAGGCAATTTTTGGATTAATTCATTTACATTTTCCACGTGTAATACGTTGAATGACGTGTTGAAAAAGATGCTGTGCCGCACAAACCACGCAAAACATAACACCACAGGTGTACTTGCGAAGAACATGTGATAATGTGCCATTTCAGGACATGACATGTCGCATGTGATCACATATTATTCACATGACGTCACATGCAATCAAATATGTAGTCATGTGTTAATGTGTGAACATGTTTATTAGAAAGACCACTCACGACCACATGTGAAGATCATCTGACTTTGCTGTAACGTTTCAGAGATCACCCTGTTACAGTCCCATGTGTGTAGTTTTTAAATTGCTGAATATGACGAGATTACCTGGCTGTTTAACTAAATTTGCTAAACTATAAATTGTAATATTTGATTAGTTAAGGCAAAAGAAAAGATTTGTAGCAGAGACTTACAAGTGCAACTAAAGCCTTGTTTTGTTTTATTTAACAAAACACAACACAAATAAAAAGAAAAGACCTCAAGAGAGACCTAAAATGTTAATTCTCTCAAAAACGACCAGCTGGCTCCGTTTGTTTCAAGAAGCTAGCCAAGAGGGTCCACTTATTCGGGTTTATGCGTTAGCTGACAGCTAGCCGCCGAGGAGCACATTAAATACGCACTTCATCTCCATAAAGGGAAACCGTCACATTCACCAAAACATAGACTTTTTCCGTGATGCTTAAACGTATAAGAAGACGAGACATGCAGCGCTGCAAATGCTGGCTAGAGGTAGCCAAGTTAGCTACAACAGCTAGCAGCTAGTTTTGCTGCCAGTGTGGACGGACTGACGTGGCGAAGATGTTCACCAGCCAGCTACGTGGCTCCTGACAACAAATATCGTGTTTGTTAAGGAGGATTTGTGTCATAACCTCTCACAGAAGTTTGGGGTATCAGGAAAACCCAACCATAAGAACACAAACAAATGTAAACATGACACAGCTACGATATAGAAAGGCTGCATGATGTTGGGCGGGCTAATGCGAATGCTAACCAGCTTAGTACACAAATTCAGACCGAGGACGGAGACCTGCGGCCTTGAACTGTGCAAGCAATATCTGTGTTTTTGTCCTGGGAGGCCGCCAAACTCTTACCTTGCGTTTTCCTCGATGAAGAGTCCATATACCCGATTTATCTTGATTTTCCGGTAAAATTTCATAGTTAAAGTCTTTAACAGGATCCCTTGCAAAGAAAGACCACATCCTTCTCTCGTTCAGTCTACATCAAACACCGAAGACAGTCACCGGCGGCGGAGCGCGACAGAAGAAAAAGAGTCGACGGCAGAGGGAGCCCGCTGCACTGAAACGAGTTGACGTTATTTTTTAGACATGCTAACATTATAACGGAGCTTTACGACAACTTCTTAAAACATAGGATTTAAAGTACAGAGTCGTAATATTTCGAGAAAAAATCGTAAATTCTGATGTTCCGACACTAATTCGCCACTTACCTAAAGGGAGCTGCCAGGGCTCACAGGAAGTACCACCCGACCCACAACCGCAGTCTGTTTATGGACTTGCTCTGCAGGCTGGGCCCTGGATCTGGGTTTGTGGCTGTACTTTGAAGGATATTCACACAACTGGCCGTCCTGTTTGTACTGACCGCTAGCCTCAGCTAGGAAAGGGCAGACAAGTACTGAAGTACTGATAAGTAACTTTCGATCCATATGTTTCCTTTTAAGGACTGATACGCTTTAAACAGTAATCTGATTACATCTTTTTATATGTTTTATATTTAGGAAATGTAATACGTGTTTGAGGCCAGAAAAGTAAACACAAATGACTGCAGTAAATAAATCTGCAGAACAGGAGCTACATTTGCTTCTGCCCTCACAGTCAAGGGGTTTTAACTGTCATTCCTCAGTATAGCTTGTATACATTGGAACGAAATGTGGTTCTTCAGGCCCCATGGTGCAACACACAACAGTAGCACGTTACACAGGACAGCACAGAGTGCAAATACACAACAGTCTGAAACGAGCACAGAACATACAATAAATACACCATAAATGCAAACAATTTAATGTCAATCCTGACTCTAAATACTAGACAGAACAACAAAACTGCAGTGGTCAGGACCAGCAGCACTGCTGTGTCTGATCCACTCAGACCAGCACAACACACACTAATACACCACCACCACATCAGTGTTACTGCAGTGCTGAGAATGATCCACCACCCAAATAGTACCTGCTCTGTGAGGGTCCATGGGGGTCCTGACCACTGAAGAACAGGGTAAAAGGGGGCTAACAAAGTACACAGAGAAACAGATGGACTACAGTCTGTAATTGTAGAACTACAAAGTGCACCTATATAGTAAGTGGAGCTGATAAAATGGACAATGAGCGTAGAAACAAGGACAGATAATGTTATGCCTTATCGGTGTATTTACGAATGGACATCATATACACACTGATCAGCAGTAACATTAAAACCACCTCCTTGTATCTACACTCAGTCCATTTTATCAGCTCCATTTACCTTATATGTGTACTTTGTAGTTATACAATTACAGACTGTAGTCCATCTGTTTCTCTATATACTTTGTTAGTCCCCTTTTACCCTGTTCTTTAATGGTCAGGACCCCCACAGGACCACCACAGAGCAGGAATTATTTGGGTGTTGAATAAATTCTCAGCACTGCAGTGGATCAGACACAGCAGTGCTGCTGGAGTTTTTAAACACCTCAGTGTAACTGCTGGACTGAGAATAGTCCACCAACCAAAAATATCCAGCCAACAGCATTCTGTGATCACTGATGAAGGACTAGAGGATCACCAGCACAAACTGCAGCAACAGATGAGCTACTGTCTCTGGCTTTACATGTACAGGGTGGACCAACAAGGTAGGACTGTCTAATAGAGTGGACAGTGAGTGACACAGTGTTTAAACAGTCAAGCAGCACTACTGTATCTGATCCACTTGTACCAGCGCAACACACACTAACACGCCAACACCACGTCAGCGTCAGTGCAGTGCTGAGAATGGTCCACCACCAAAATAATACCTGCTCTGTGGTGGTCCTGTAAGGGTCCTGACCATTGAAGAACAGAGTGAAAAGGTGGCTAACAAATTATGCAGAGTAACAGGGTAATTATAGAACGACAAAGTGCACCTATATAGTAAGTGGAGCTGAAAAAATGAATAATGAGAAACATTGTGTAGAAACAAATAGGTGGCTTTAATGTTATGGCTGATCAGTGTACATATGCATGGACTGGCATCAAAGCCACTATAGTGGATGTTGGAAAGGGTCTAGTTTAGCCCAGGTGAATGTTGGGGCAGCACTGTGCATTCAGTTATCTGACTGCCTTGGGATGAAACTGTTCCAGAGTCTGGTGGAGGAACAGATGCTCCGGTACCTTCTGCCAGACTTCAGGAGGGTAAAAAGTCACTTTGTGGTAGGAGGTGTTGATGATGGGTAAAGACACCCTGATGATCTCAGCTGTCTTCACAATCTGCTGTAGGGTTGTGTGGTCTGAGATGGTGCAGTTCTCATTACACTGTCTGAGAGATGATCAGGAGGCTCTCTATTGTCCCCAGTAGAATGGAATGAAGGTAGAAGGGGGGGGGGTTCTTTTCATTCTTTGTAGGAAGTAAAGGTGCTGCTGGGCTCTTTTGGCTGGACTGGTGGTGTTGAGAGTCCAGGTGAATTCATTACCAAAGAACTTGGAGCTTTTATTTCTCTCCACATTTGAATCGTTGATATGAAGTGGAGAGTGATTACCATGCGTCCTCCTGAAATCAACAGTCATCTCTTTGGTTTTATCAACTCTGCACAAGTCTGCAAGCTGCTCCACCTCCTCCCTGTACACTGACTCATCATTGTTGCTGAGCAGACCCACCACTGTAGTATCATCAGCAAACTTGAGGATATGAACTGAGCTATGTTTTGCAGCAAAGTCATCAGTCAGCAATGCAAATAGCAGGAGACTGAGCACAGCCCAGGGAACACCAGTGTTTAGTGTGGTGGTGTTCGAGGAGGTCTTGCTGACAGAATGAGGTCTCCCAGTCCAAGATCTAGTTACAAAGGGAGGTGTTCAGGTCCAGCAAGCACAGTGAGTCATGAGACAGAGATTGCATCATGGCGTATCATTTGAAGTTAAGTCACTTCTTTAAGCAGTTTATTTTGTATTAAATATAGGGAGAATGCAAAGACTTTCAAATATAAATTTAAATGTTCACAACTACTGATTTGCTTTTTTGCACTGTGTAAACCACAAGGATTTTTTTACATGCAAATGAAACCCTGAAGGAAAATTTTCAAAAATTCTGTATAACACAACAATTGGGATAGTGGTTTGATGTGAAATGGTGCAGCGGTGATGATAGGACCTCAGGCTGTGATGTCAACATAAATATAGCTATTTTATGTACTATCTAAATAACCAGTGAACCAACAACTTGGGTGCTTTGCAAGATGTAAATAAAAAAAAACAGAATGCAAAAAGTTGGGACAGAGGCATGTTTACCTCTTCTTTTAACAACACCCTGTGTTTGGGACCTGAGGAGACCAACTGCTGTAGTTTTGAAAGTGAAAAGCTTTAAAGTTTTCCCATTGTTGCTTGATATAGGATTTTAGCTGCTCAACAGTTCGGGGTCTCCTTTGTCGTACTTATATAGTACCCAGACTCTTTTACTATAGAGCAATGCTGTTGTAATATGTGCAGAATGTATTTTGGCATTGTCTTACTGAGATAAGCAAGGCCTTCCCTGAAAAAGACGTCATCTGGATGGCAGCATATGTTGCTCCAAAACCTGTATATATCAGTCAGCTTCAATGATGCCTTCACAGATGTGCAAGGCACTTATGCCATGTGCACTAATGCACCCCCATATCATCACGGATGCTTGCTTTTGAACTGTGTGCAGTTCTAATTCTAGTTTTGATTCATCAGACCACAGGACACTTTTCCACTTTGTCTCAGTTCATCTTAAATGAGCTCAGGCTCAGAGAACACGGTGGCGTTTTGGGATCCAGTTTATATATGGTTTCTTCTTTGCATGATAGAGTTTTAACTTGCATTTGTGGATTCAGCAACGAAGTGTGTTCACAGACAGTGGTTTTCAGAAATGTTCCTGAGCCCATGCCATCATTTAAATTACAGAATCTTGTGTTCTCAATGCAGTGCCACCTGAGGCCCTGAAGATTACAGCCAGCCAGTATTGGTTTCTGGCCTTGTCCCTTGCATAAAAAGATTTCACCGAACTCTCTGAATCTTTTAATATTATGTACCGTAGATGATGAAATCCCCAAGTTGCTTTTTTACATTGAGATGTTATTCTTGAATTGTTGCACTATTTGCCTGTGCAGTCTTTCAGAGTCGTGAAACCCTCATCATCATTACTTCTGAAACACTCAGCCTGTCTGAGATGCTCTTTTTATACTCAGTCATCGTACTGACCTGTTGGCAGTTAACCTAATTAGTTGAGATGTTCCACCAGTTGTATTTTTAGGATTACACAACTTTTGTTGCCCCGTCCCAATGTTTTTGAAAAGCATTGCTGGCATCAAATTCAAAATGGGCATATATTAAAAAAAAAAATCAAAATCAGTTTCAATATTTGATATGTTGTCTTTGTATCATTTCCAATTAAATATAGGGTTTAAATGATTTGCACGTCATTGCATTCTGTTTTTATTTGCATTTTGCCCAGCGTCCCAACTTTGTTTGGAAATGGGGTTGTACATGTGTTTCTGGGACTGTTTTACTGTACAGCATTTAAATAAAAAAAGAAGTCCAAAACCTTCACTAAAAACTATTGTAAAAAAATGTCTCGGGCATTAGGCAACATATTTGTAACCATTTCATATAATAGTTTTCTGTGCAGGAGCTTTTAGAAGCATTCAACACTTAAGATGTCTGGTTCCTATCACCACAACCGTGAACAATTCTGACACAAGTTTCTATGGAATGGAGCATGACGTTTTAGGGTGACCACACACCCTCTTTCTACGACATAAAAACACTTTTGTGCTGCAGCTATGATTTAAAAAAAAAAGAATTCTAATTTTGATTTATTGGACCACAGGACACTTTCCCACTTTGTCTCAGTCCATCTTAAATAAGCTTGGGTTCAGAGAAGGTGGTGGTGTTTCGGGATCCTGTTTATATAAGGTTTTACTCTTTGCATGGTATAGTTAAACTGCATTTGTGGATGCGGCAACAGACTGTGTTTTCAGAAGTGTTCCTGAGCCCATACAGTGATTTCCACAACGGAATCGTGTCCGTTTTTAATGCAGTGCTATCTGAGGGGTCCTAAAGATTTCAGCCAGCTAATAGGA